TTCTATGGCAGTCAGCATCAAAATCTCTGCCTCCTAGGCAGTCATTGGCTGTTTGCAGTTCACCGGATTTGGTTCTGATTTGTCAGTTTCTATGCCAGTCAGCATCAAAAGGTCTGCCTCCTAGGCAGCCAGTGGATCCCCATAGTTCAGCCAGATTTGGTTCTGACTGGTCAGTTTCTATGCCAGTCAGCATCTCCAGGCCTGATCAGAGACACACCTGATCAGCAGCCACTCCAGGCTGCTGGTGAGCGAGCTGAACTGATGAACTCTTAGAGAGGGCCTCGCCAGTAGCCATGGCAACTTCTGATCAGCCCTGCCTCTCTCTCTCCATGAGGTCAGCAGTTCAGCCCCCTTACCAGTCTCCATTTGAAGCACGCACAGCCTGGTGTTTGGTAGAGCCTTCAGTCATTTTGGACATTACAGACCCTGGGATTTTTATACATTAGGATAATACTAATTATCCTTATTCTAAAAGTTCTCTTTTTTTTCCTTCCTTGTTTCCCCAGGAATTATTTAAGTTCACTGCCTATCTTCCATGTGGCTCTTTTCCTTAATGTTTGTTGCTTGTGGGTTGCCTATCTCTATTGGTAAATGAGAACCTTAGGGATCAGCAAACTGTTTCAGTAAAGGGCCAGTTTGTATCTTAGGCTTTGACGGGCACATTAAGAATCTGTCACATATTGTTTTTTTTACAACCCTTTAAAAATATAAAATCCGTACAAAAACAGGCAGTGGGAAGCGTACAGATGGTAGTCAGCCAATTACTAGGTTTTTCAATACTGTTTCCTGAAGTTTTTCTGTTTGAGTGAATTTCCCTAGCAGATTTTGATCACACAGACCATCATCTTAAATGTGCGAGGAATGAGAGAAGAGCAGTCAGTAGGAAAAAAGGGAACTAGACAGCCACCAGGTTTTTATTTGCCTGCTTTCTAAGTATTAGAAATCAAAGCTCCTTATAGTACCCACTAGATACCTACAGCATTGCCGCACTTTGATGGCCCCCATATATGCTTTGGGAAACTACTATATTAGAAGTCTCACTCTATTTGGCAAGCAACAAACTATATTATGGCGTTAGCTTAGAGGAATACTATATACCAACAACTCCAAGCCAGGGACTGACAACTGTTCAGTCCTTAAAATGTGGCTTATCAAACTGTAGCCACCTCTCAGAGCTCCTCTAAAATGGAAAAAAATTCCTTAATTTTCATTTGCTTGTGCCTGTGGTACTCTCTGTTTGACTATATCTTCTAGAAATGCTTCACAGCACCCCTGCTGTATTTCTACTGTGGTTAAGAATTACCTTCATTGCTATTATTTTCTTATTGATATGTCTTCTGTGATTTTAACAGAGCTTCAGACTCATGACAGTATGCCCTTTAGATCTAGAACTTGCCACAACCATCACTACACTCCTGTAGTACCCTTCCACACTGCCGGTCACCAGGGAGGCCATCTCCTGTCTCCATCAGCACAACCTCACCTGACTGCTAATATACAACTTTTCTAGAAAAAAATTTTAAACAAAACCCAGAGAAATCAGAAAGGAAATGAAATTGGAGAGACTAGTATGACTGTTTCCAAAAAGGCCTCAAAGGGTGCAGTGCAGACTGAATCTACCACTGCCAAGACTGCCCTTCCTCTGAGCAGGCTCCCTTGACTGCACACCAAACAGAGACCCAGCTATCAGAGTAGGGCCACAATCCTTAAAGACAAGCTGCTGATTTATAACATGAACTGTAACTGCCACATGGACTAAAACACTGTCAGCATGACTACATGCCATTTTATGTCCATCAGCAGAAATACGATGGATATCAAAGTGTAATCAGAGATACAAGAAGCAACCAATGGGAGAAACCAAGATGGTAGCGACATAGGTAATCACCTATTCTTCCTGCCTCTCACAACCACATCAAAAACACAACTAAACAGCAGGACAACTACCACCCAGAACTGCGGGAAAGCTGGCTGGAAGGAAGTCCCACAACTGTTGAGGTGAAGAAAGCTCAATGAGACCAATAAAAGCTGCAGAGGCTCATAACATGCTGGCATCTGGACGTACTGCTCTTAAAACGGGGAGGATGACATAAGCTCCTGCTTGCTGTGAACTCCAGTTCAAAGGGACCCAGGCACATACGGGGGGAAACTGGACTGTCTGGAATCGGGAAAGGATTGAGAGGGTGGCTTATTCTTAGAGGTGCTCACAGCAGTCATTATTTCTGCACGAGGGCACGGGATGTGGAGAACCAGGGACTTCTCCGGTTCAGGGAAGCCATAGCTGTTTGCTCCGCTCTGTGTTTCCCAGATATCCCACCCCACCCAATTTACAACTCCACCCAAGCTGTGTGCATCGGCTTGTTCTTTCACCTAAAACAAACTGCAGCTGGGTCAGAGCGCCCCAGAGATTCCAAAAGAAGGCCCACTACCTGGCAGCAGCAGCTGGAGGCCTTGCATCACAGCTGGGCCTCATCTGGGCACTTCCAAACCCCATACGAAGAGGAAGAATCTGCAGATGTCTCTGTAGCTCCTGCTGGGAAGCCCCATACAGTGGTTGACCTTGTACCTCCTTGAAGATCCAAGAGCCAGTATACCCAGTGGTCAGAGTGAGATCATACCAGATTAAAAATCTTCACATCCATAGCGACACACACAAGGGCAGACTCGGTGAGCACCATAGCTCTACTGAAGCAAGTCCTGCCTCATAAGGGTGTCTCCTGCGTAACAGTTCTTCCAGTGTAGACACAGCAGGTCACCACAGCCAATTGGCCTGGAGATCAATTCTTCGCAGTGATACCAACAGCAATTAAGGATTTACTACAACAAAACTGTGCAAACAGCCCACAAAGGGGTGCAACAAGACTATCCACCGCATGTGACTAGGTCGGCTGAGACACTGGGCCCTATGAGACACCAACCACACAAGGCCACTCTATCAACCCAGGATACTTGGCAGCTCCCCAGTACATAGAAACAAACACAGGGAAGCAGCCAAAATGTGGAGACAAAGAAAGATCACAAATGAAAGAAATGGATGAAAGCAAATACTGGATATAGAGTTCAAAACCAGGTTACTCAAGAATCTTCTAGAAATTTAGTGAGACCTTTGAGGATATGAAAAAGGACCAACTAAAAATTAAACATACACTAACTGAAATAAAAAATATTATACAGAGACCTAGCAGCACCCTAGAGGACCGCAAGAATCTAGTCAAAGATTTGAAATACAAAAAAGCAAAAAACACTCAACCAGGAAAGAAAAAAGAAAAAAGAATCCAAAAATATGAAGATAGTGTAAAAAACCTCTGGAACAACCTCAAGCATACCAACATCAGAATTATGGGGGTGCAAAAGAGAGAGCAAGATACTGAAAACCTATTTGAAGAAATAATGACTGAAAACTTCCCCCACCTGGTGAAAAGAAATAGACTGATAAGTCCAGGAAGCGCACAGAACCCCAAACAAGAGGAATCCAAAGAGGACCACACCAACACACATCATAATAAAAATGCTAAGAGCAAAAGACAAAGAAAGAATCTTAAAGGCAGCAAGAGAAACAGTTAGTTGCCCATAAGGGAGCACCCATATGACTGTCAGCTGATTTCTCAACAGAAACTATGCAGGGCAGAAGGGAGTGGCAAGAAATATACAAAGTGATAAATAGTAAGAACTTACATCCAAGATTACTCTACCCAGCAAAGCTATCATTCAGAATTCAAGGTCAGATCAAGAGCTTCACAGACACAAAAAAGCTAAAGGAGTTCATCACCACCAAACCGGTATTACATGAAATGCTGAAGGGTACTCTCTAAGAAGAGAAAGAAAAAGATAAAAATTATGAACAACAAAGTCACAACAACAAATACATCTCTATCAACAAGTGAACTTAAAAATCAAGTGAATAAAAAAATCTGAGAAACAGAGTAAATTGATGAATATAATAGAATCATGGGCATAGAAAGAGAATAAACTGACAATACTTGGAAGGAAAAAAGTGTGGGGAGGTGTGGGAAGAGACTGGACAAAAATCGTACACCCATGGATGAGGACAACGGTGGGGAAGTAAGGGCAGAGGGTGGGGTGGGAACTGGGTGGAGGGGAGTTATGGGAAGGAAAAAGATGAATAACTGTAATAATTGAAGCAAAAAATAAATTAATAAATTAATTTAATTAAAATTAACCAAATTATACTTGTATTCAAATGTATTTTCAAAAAGATTTCAAGATTTGACACAGGCACCAAGAAATGAAATTAAAGCAAGTATAAATAGTTATGTTATAGAATGACCTCTACTTGACATATTAAAAAATATTTAGTAATATATTTTAAAATATGATTGAGGTAAATTTTTTCTGTAATTCAAGTCTTCTCAATCATCTTAAAATACCTGTGAGCTGAACTCATGTATTAAGCAAATCCTGATTTTAAATACTCATCTAATTGCTGGACTGTTTCATGTAAAATTGCTAATCCAGGTAGAATTTTTGTAAAAAAACATTTTATTACTACAAAGGGAAACATGGTCACAAAAAGCCTTGAAGCGTATCTTAACGCAAATTACTATTCAATGTTCAATGCCGTAAAAAAATACACAGAGCACAAAATACTTGCCCAATTAAATCTCTTCCAGGGTAAGTATTCAAAACATTAATGCACACTTGAATATATACTCCCAAGAGCAGCATTTAAGTTCAAATGATTAGAATAGATATACTAACAATACATATCTGTTATCCTAACACCAATAAAGTAATAAAAATTAAGCTTACAAATTATACAATTTATCGAATCTAAGTTGGATAACTATAAAAACTAAACTAATACCTTCATTTTATTAAAACAAATGCCAAACATTTAGAAATCATATAAAATAAAATTTTAATGTGTGGAATGCATGCAACATGGGTGTTAGCTCTCATGTTTTAAACTATTAAAATTCTTACCCTTTTCCACATTAGAACAGAAATTTAAAGCTTCTTTTATATCTAATACCTTATATTCAATTTTTTTCTGGTTGGACAGCAGGGAGGCTGACATGCTCTTCTTTTGCTGCTTCTTTCCCTCCTTCCTCCACTCCCACTCCTTCCCCCGTCCCCTCTGTGTCTCCCTCTCCCTCTATTCCTTCACCTTCTCTCCCTGCTCCCTCTACTTCCCCCGCTCCCTCTACTTCCCCCACTTCCTCTGCTTCCTCTATACCCTCTGCTTCCTCTACACCCTCTGCTTCCTCTACACCCTCTACTTGCTCTACTGCCTCCACTTCCTCTACTCCCTCCACTTCTCCCACTTCCTCTTCTTCCTCCTCTTCTTCCTCCTCTTCAATATGTTCACCAATCTTTTCTTCCTCCTCTTCATCTCCTTCTATTTGCTGATCTTGAGAATGATCTTGAATTTTAAAAGGATTCTCACCCTAAAAAACATGAGAAATAACTTTTAAAATTGGTACATTTCATAACAGTGAAATTTTATATACTGTATCATCAAAATACTTTTAAAGCTTTATATTTTAACACCAGAGGCCCAATGCACGGATTTGTGCACATGTGGGATCCAGCCAGCTCAAACCCAATTGGAACAGATTGAGGCCAGACCTGTCGGGCTAACTAGACAGTGGGAGGTTGGCCAGCTGGCCAGCCAGCCCCAATCGGGCCCAAACAGTGTGGACCAGCTGGGTGGAAGGGCCTCAGGCAATTGGCCAGCAGGCTCCACCTATGATTCAGGTGGGTGGCCAATTGGGGGTGCGGCCCACTGTCCACAGCCCCTCCCCATGGCTGGCTGATTCTGCCTCTGAGTGGGATAGGGGAGGCCGATCGGGAGCCAGCAGCCTCGGGTAGGGACCATGGGTGGTTGGCCAGTAGGCCATGATTGGAGTTGGGGGGTTGATCGGGAGTGGAGCTGGCTGGGGGAGGGGCCACGGACTAATCAGAGTGGTGGGGCCCATCAGGGCCAGCGACAGCCAGGAGGAGGGCTGCAGGTGGCTGGCTGCCAGCCCTGCCTCTGATTTAGGTGGTTGGGGCCCAGCTGGGGTGGGACCAGCCAGGGGAAGGAGCTGCAGGAGGTTGGCTGGCCAGCCCCATCCCCTATTGGGGGAAGGGCTGTAATCAGAGGCAGGGCCAGCTGTGGGAAGGGGCTGCGGGCTGATCAGAGTGGAATGGCCGATCAGGGGCAGGGCCAGCCAGAGGGGAAGGGCCACAGGAGGGGATTGGCCAGCTACCCCACCCTCAATTGGGGTGGGAAAGGCCGATCGGGGTAGGGCCTGATGGGGCAAGGGGTCATGGGGGGGCTGGCTGACCAGCCCCACCCCTTAATCAGCCAATTCATGGGGTGCAGTAGGCATCATGGCAACCAGTTATTCTTGTCATTACAGTTGCTGGCTTTTTATATAGATGACAAAATCCACTAAATATCTATTGAGTACCTATTCATGCCAAAGTGAGTATATCCATTTCTGAAGTCATTACTTTATACTGATAAACTGGAAGGCTTAAAGTCCTATTTTTTTTTTAACTGAATTTCTAAAATTTTCTATGTGTATAGAACAAAGACAAATACATGGGTTTTTGTAGAAACTAAGTAGATGAAGTAAAATATCTAACTTCTGCCCTAGTTAGTTTGGCTCAGTAAATAGTGTTGGCCTGCACACTGAAGGGTTCTGGGTAGATTTTAGTCAAGGACACATGCCCACGTTATGGGCTCATCTGCAGTAAGATGTGTGGAGGAAGCAGCCAATCAGTAATTCTCTCTCATCTCTACCTCTCTCCCTCACTCTCTCCCTTCTTCTCTGAAATCAATAAAAAAATTTTTTCAGATAGTTATCTTCTACTTAATTATACTAGTAGTCAATGTACTGCTGTTGCAGAATATCTTTAAAAACAAATGAGCCTAATTGGTGTGGTTCAGTTGGTTGAGTATCATCCCATGCACCAAGAATTACCAATTCAGTTCCCAGTCAGGACATAGAACCAAGCTGTGGACTAGATCCCCAATAGGGGGAGTGCAGGAGGCAGCAAATTGATGTTTCTCATCCATGTTTCCCTCTCTCCCGTCTCCTTTCGTCTCTCTAAAAAAAATGAATAAAAACGTATTTAAAAAGAAAGCAATAACAAGTTTATATAGCTTTAAATGTTTTTGAAAATAATCTACCTATTTTGCTTTTTTTTAAAAATATATTTTATTGATTTTTTACAGAGAGGAAGGGAGGAGGATAGAAAGCCAGAAACATCGATGAGAGAGAGACATCGACCAACTGCCTCTTGCACAACCCCCGAGGATGTGCCTGCAACCAAGGTACATGCCCTTGACCGGAATCAAACCTGGGACCCTTTAGTCGGCAGACCGACGCTCTATCCACTGAGTCAAACCCGTTTTGGCTAATCTACCTATTTTTCTTTAAAAAAATGGACAAATCTTTAATTCACTAAACATTCCTAGACACAATTGTATTTTAGTATTTTTATTTAAATAACTGATGTGCTGGGGTGGCTCAGGCCAGGGAGTGAAGAGAATAAGACACAACTGGAGAACTGAAAGAAACTGATGAAGTGATATCTTCATGGGGTAAAAATTAAAAAGGGTATTTTGTCAGACTGAGAGCATCTGGAAGTAAGAGTTTTAAGCCATGACCAGAGCTGACTACAAACAGAGGATATTCTGGGGAATGACAACAGGAAATAAAGTAGACAGAAATGCAAAACAAAGGAAAATCATTGAGCAATATGACATCTGTGCTTCTTGAATTTTAATGCAAATGAGTCAACTGAAATCTTGTGAAAATGAAGATCCTTATTCAATAGGCCTGGGCATTAACTAAAAATGAAAGTGCATTTCTAATGAGCTCCAGGGTTAATGCCAATACTGCTGGCCCATAGATCACATTCAGAGTAAAGGATCTTGAGTTCTCAGTTCATGTACTTTCTCCAAAATAGGTCCATGAGCAAGATACTCCCACCAGTGATGTCTCTTTTATTCCTTGAACTGATTGTAAAGTGTAGCTTGAAAACCCTATGTAGAAATTCTAATTTGTGTTCTCTCTTTAAAAATTATTTTCATACATCAATAGAAACCATTAACTTACCAAATTTATGATATAGCAAGGATAAAAATCTAATTTTTCCTAATTTAGCTCCTATCTTTTTGATGCCATGTGTCCCAAAAACTTGGATTTCAATCAGTGCGGCACTGGCTTTTTAAAAGTGGTGTCAAACATGTAGGAAAGCCCAGACTGGGTGATTTACTTGGTCAGAGTATCATCCCCGAAACACCAAGGTTTCTGGTTTGATCCCTGGTCGGTACACCCATTAGAATCAACTAATGAGTGCATGAATAAGTGGAACATCAAAACTGATGCTTCTCTCTCTCTAAAAAAAATCAATAAAAATAAAAGAATGTAGTAAACAATGACAAATACGGTTAACAAATCTGAAACCAAGACCCTAAGAAATAAACCAAAAGAACTGAGATTTACTCAACTTGGAAGGCACTTAATTGAAGGATAACTTAATTGTTATTAAGCATTGTAAACCCTGAGAAAGAAAACAACTACCAAGAAGGGCTTCTGGTGGCTAACTAGGCTGAAATTTAAAAAAATAAATAAATAAATAACAACAGAGCCTAGCAGCCATTTCTACACAGGGGAATGTCATACAAACTGCACTTTGGGGAGAAGCCTGCACTAAATTGCCTGCATGCATTGCTCCTGTCACCTGTGCCAACCCTTATAAAGGAATTCCTGGAATCTTATTTCAACCAACAGGACTGAGGCTTTCCCTATCCAACTGAAGCTGTGCATCTCTATTATGATCAATCATAACAGTGCCTTTTAGACCAATCAAACTGTGAGGATTTGGAGTCCACATTTGCATGAGGGACCAATGGCAGGAGCTTCTGTCTATACAAGCCAGCTTCTTGGACTCTGAGAGAGCACTTCCCCTTTCTATCTAAGAATGAATATATGTATCTTCCTGGTTGAGCTGAAATACCAAAGATGTCTCCCTGGAGTGGACCAGAGCAGGTCAGTGCAGGCCAGAGCAGACTGGCACAGAACAGTAGACAAACAGGAGCAGAACAGAGCTGCCTAGGTAGAGAAGAACCTATACCCTGGCTGCCTCAGAGCTCTGAGGTTTCACAGCTATCTGCATCACATTTAAGCTGATTTGCATTGAATCAAGTTTCCTTCTTTACCACACAACAAAATGGAGATACCTTGGCATTGAATTGGAGCCAACTATCATTGATTGTAATCACAACAGCCAAAATAAATAAAACTTCTTTAATTTATAGATTTAGTTACTAATGTAAACAAAACCTTTCATAAATCTTCAACATAACTCTTTCAGTGTAAGATGATTTAAAAAAAAAAAATATATATATATATATATATATATATATATATATATATATATATATATATATATAAATAAAAGCTTAAGCGAACTTTATGACAGTAACTACCAGGGGGCAGATGCTCAATGCAGGCGCTGTCCCCTGGTGGTCAGTGCACTCCCACAGCCAACCTCCCACAGTCCATCCCCTGGCCAGCCAAACTCCCGCAGCCCCTCTGGCCTGCCATCCAACCTCCCACAGTCCCTCCCCTAACCCTGGCCGGTCAATCTCCCATGGTCCCTTTCCACCCTGGCTGACCAACTTCCCATCATCCTTCCCCGCCACCACAGCCAATCTCGTGCAGTCCCTCCCCCACAACACAACCTCCCATGCATGAATTTGTGCACTGGGCCTCTAGTTATTTTATAAACACTAAAAAACTATCCCTGGCAAGTGATGCTCAGTGGTTGGAGCACTGATCTCAGGTTCAACTCTTCAAGGGCACATACCTGGTTTGCAGGTTCGATCCCCTGCCCATTGGGGTGCATGCAGGGGACAACCAAACTATGTGTCACATTGATATCTCTCTCTCTCTCTCTCTCCCTCTCCCTCTCCCTCTCCCTCTCCCTCTCCCTCTACCTCTCTATCTATCTCTATCTCTCTTTCACCCCCCATCCCCTTCCACTCTTTTTAAAAAAAATAATAAAATAATGGGAAAAAATATTCTCTGGTGAGGATTAACAAAATAAAAAAACACTCAAAAATGAAAATCTAATATGTATTTCTACTATCTTATATAATAAAAGAGTAATATGCAAATTGACTATACCTTCATTATACTCACAAGCCATGCCCACCAGCCAATCAAAGCAAGTATGCAAATTAACCCCAACCAAGATGGCTGTGGCCAGAGAGCAGGAGGGAGGCTTGGGTTTGACAGGCAATGGAAGAAGCCAAGCTTTCCGCCTGCCCTAGCTGGCCTAAGCCTCCACTCAAGGCAACAAAGTTTCAATTATAGAAGGTAAACAAATCCAAACAGAAATGGTGGCAGCCACAAAGCAAGCAGAAGGTTTGGCTCCACTCCAAGCTATAAAGTTTCAATTGTACAAGACAAATTCCAGATATCAGGGCCTCCACTTGGGTCGCCGGGGGCTGTGGCTGGCCTGCAAACCACCACAGGCCCCTCGCCCAGGCCACCCAACACCCCAAAGGAATCCCTATCCTGATCCAGGAGACCCTTCAGGGCAAATCAGCCGGCCCCCACCCACCTGTACACCAGGCCTCTATCCTATTTAATAAAAGAGTAATATGCAGATTGACTATCACTCCAACACACAAGATGGCTGACCCCATGTGGTCAAAGGTGACTGTCTCTATGTGGACACAAGATCGCCACCACAAGATGGCCTGCAAGGGAGGGCAGTTGGGAAGGAATAGGCCTGCAAAGGAGGGTATCTGTGGGTGATCAGGCAAGCAAGGGAGGGCAGTTGGGAGGCACCAGGCCTGCAAGGGAGGGCAGTTGGGGGTGATCAACCCTGCAGGGGAGGGCAGTTAGGGGTGACCAGGCTGGCAGAGGGAAGTTGGGGACAAATAGGCTGGCAGGGAGCAGACATCAATCAGGCTGGCATGGGAGTGGTTAGGGGTTGATCAGACTGGCAGGCAGAAGCGGTTAGGGGCAATCAGGAAGGCAGGCAGGCGAGCAGTTGGGAGCCAGCAGTCCTGGATTGTGAAAGGGATGTCCCAGATTGGAGAGCGTGCAGACTGGGCTGAGGGACATCCCCACTCCCTCGACACCCCTGTGCACAAATTTCGTGCATTGGGCCTCTAGTTTCATGAGTAATTAAGTTACTATTTGTACTATAAATGTCAATAATGTGTAAAGGATTTTATGTAATGAGATTATTCCTCAGTACTATAGGGCAAAAATTGTGAGCAGCAGTGGGCCAGGTATATCTAATTGTTCACAAGTTAGTTTCCTGACATTAGGGGCAAACCTTTCTCCTGGCCTCCTGATTCCATGAGGGAGGGTTTTTCTGAAATAACACAGATAATCTCCTGCTTCCCCTCCAACTTCATCCAAGGAAGAGGAATTACTTATCCAACTAGTATACTTGGAAGAAATTGGACGTGCACAACTCAATCCCTTCTGGGCCCCTTCTTTTGGGTCTTCCTAGTAATAGAAAGGATGCATTCTATTCTATTCTATGTCACATGATAAACTAGGGGAAAGCTGTTGCTATCCACCTACACCAGTAACAGAGGTCGATGAACATTGCCGGGAGCCAATTCCAGCATGTCATAATTACAACAATTTTATAAAAAGGCTGATGAAACTTGGGGGCTCAACAAGGGCCGAGTCACATATGTAATTACTTCTTTGAACAGCTGGAATGGCACTTCCCCCAAACCTGAATAGGATGATTGCTTGCTTGCGGCCAGGGCATCTTAATCTACATGTTATTGCCTCCTTGGTCAAACACCTGAACAGCTGTAGGCTATTTCCCAATCTGACAATGCTTCTGTACCCTACCCCACCTTGCCTTAGGACAAATTGTGTTAATAAAGAGCAAGGGGTGCCGGGACCGGTTTGGCTCAGTAGATAGAGCGTCGGCCTGCGGACTGAAGGGTCCCGGGTTCAATTCCAGTCAAGGGCATGTACCTTGGTGGCGGGCACATCCCCAGTGAGGGGTGTGCAAGAGGCAGCTGGTCAATGTTTCTCTCTCATCAACATTTCTAACTCTCTGTCCCTCTCAATTCCTCTCTGTGTAAAATCAATAAAATATATATATTTAAAAAAAAAAAAAAAAGAGCAAGGGGTCCTGGGACAAAGAGAGTCCTTAGCTCCTTTAGCTGAAGCTCCTCTGACCCCCAATGCCTTTCGAAAGTATCTTTCGTCTCCAGACTCTTTAATCATCTATGCAAAACCTTTCTCCAGATTGCTAAACTTTTCATAATGCTGGGACAAGAATCCCAGCAGACATAAGCCTGTATAATTTAGTAATGAAATACTGGAAGATTCACATAACTACCTATCTAAAACACATTCAAGTCAACTATTTTCTAAAAATGGAGAATAAAGCTGACATTGTGATCTTCTTATCAAACTCCTATGCACTTCTCAAATGATCCAGAGCTAGGAAGGGGTTAAGGAAAAAAATGGCTTATGGCTCTCTCCTGATACAAACCCTAACAATTAGGAAAAACAGATGTTTTACATATATGTAAAATATTAAGACCAACTCTTTCTAATGTTGTACTATATTTAAATATAATAAAGAGTTACTATCACCATTTAATTATTATAATACTACAATATAAACTAAAGAGCTGATACCCTAACATCTTACCTTGACAAAACGTTCATATCGCGCCTTCACTATTGGATTATTCAAAATGCTTGTAGCAGTCAAGACACTCTCTCTTTTTATTTGTTCCTTATAAACCTATAAAAAGTAGAATACACTTTAAGTACTTGAAAGTCATATCATAAAAAAATATTTCCACATTAAAGTAACATCGTATGCTCAAATTGTTAGATTAAATGATTTACTTTCTGGCAAATTAAGCTATAAAGAAGTTACTGTGACCACACATAAATATTCTATGGATTAAAACAATGAAGAGTCAATAAGCAGATCAGCTTCAATAACACACACCCAGTCACCATATAGGTATTCTAGGTATTCTAAACAATTGCTTTCCCTCCTTTTTAGTCTACCTCCACCTAGCTCAGTGCCAACTACTCCAACTATTAATTTTCATGCTAGAGAAAGAAAGAATAAGTTTTGAGCTAGAGTAACTACTCTACCTCTGGGCTATAACTATCATAAGACTATCCTATCCTATCCTATATAATAAAAGGCTAAAATGCAAATCTACTGAACAATGGAACCAGTCAGTATGACATGCACTGACCACCAGCGGGCAGATGCTCAAGCAAGAGTTACCCCCTAAAAAAAAAAAAAAAAAAAAGAATTTCCCTTTGGTGGTCAGTGCACTCCCACAGGGGAGTGCCGCTCAGCCAGAAGCCAAGCTCAAGGCTGGTGAGCACAAAGGTGGTGGCGGGAGCCTCTCCCACTTCCACAGTAGCGCTAAGGATGTCCGACTGACAGCTTAGGCCTGAACATCCCCTGAGAGCTCCCAGACTGCAAGAGGGTGTAGGCAAGGCTAAGGGAACCCCCCCTCAAGTACATAAATTTTGTGCACCAGGCCTTTAGTTTTACATAAGGGAGAAAAGGTAATTTATGCAATGTCTAGTTTCAAAAAAGTGTCAAAGGAATATCAAAAGAGAAAGACTAAGATTTTTAAAATATGTGCTCAAAGTAGCTTTAAAAAAGTCTGAAGAAGTTTGAGTTAAATGAGATTCACTTTAATACAAAATATGAACTTGAAAACTAAACATGTTCTATTTAAAACAAGTATCATTCAATATGACAAGTTTATGGGGTTTGATGCCCAGTCAGAGCATATAAGAATCAACCAATAACCCTAGCTGGTTTGACTCAGTGGATAGGGCATCAGCCTGCAGACTAAGTATTCTGAGTTCAATTCTGGTCAAGGGCACATTCAGGGTTGTGGTGTGCAGAAGGCAGCCAATTAATGATTCTCTCTCATTACTGATGTTTCTATCACTCTCTCCCTTTTCTCTCCCTTCCTCTCTGAAATCAATAAAAATTATTTTTTTTAAATCAACCAATACATACATAAATAAGTGAAACAACAAATCAGTTTTTCTCCCTCCCTCCCCCACCCCTGTATCTCACTGTCTCTCCCCCTTTCTCTCTCAAATCAATTTTTTTAAAAAACTTCTTTAATATTTACATTTTTTAATTTGCCTTTCAAATTGCGCACAATATAAACATTTTTACTTGAAATAAAATGGACTAAATAAAAGCATCCAATATAGAAGCAAAAATATGCTAACAAAAAAATTCTTCTAGAATATTTTTGTAAATTCTAAAAAATTGTAAGAATAGATAATAACTGATAATCCTACTTTTTACTCTCACTTTTCCTCACTACAGAAAAATGTTATAATCAAATCATTCCTTCCTTTTCTGTTCTAAAACACACATACACAATACACACACACAATCATTTTGTATCAACTTAAAAAGTAAAAAAAAAAAAAAAAAGGGGGGGGGGGCGGGGAACAATTCAATAACAGCTACGATTTCCTGAATGCCTATTGTGCCAAGCACTATTTTAAGTGCCTTTTATATTGTCATTAACCTAATCCTATATAATAATAGCCTAATATGCTAAGTGTCTGGTCGTCTGATTGGCCATTCAACCAAAGTGTAATATGCTAATGATATGCCAAGGCCACATAACTGACATGCAATGACCACCAGGGAACAGTCGACCAGTCGCTATGTCGTGTACTGACCACCAGGGGGCAGACGCTCCAATCAGTAGGTTAACTTGCTGCTGGGGACTGAGCAAGACAGGCTGGACATGCCCTTGAGCCCTGCTGCGTTCCCTCCCGGACTGGCCAACCTCCTGCATCTCTCCCTGGCCCCGATCCTGCAATGGAAGGGTCCCTTGGCCTGGCCTGCCCCTCTAGCAATCTGGGCTGAGGGACCCTCCCCACCCCTGAGTGCACTAACTTCATGTACCGGGCCTCTAGTCTTTAAATAGTCACATAAAAGTAGTCACTTTACACATAAAAAAAGTTAAAATTAATTTACATGGCCCTAACTGGTTTGGCTTAGTGCATAGAGCATCGGCCTGTGAACTCAAGGGTCCCAGGTTTAATTCCAGTCAAGGTCATGTACCTTGGTTGTGGGCACTTCCCCATCAGGGGATTGCAGGAGGCAGCTGATCATGTTTCTAATTCTCTATCCCTCTTCCTTCCTCTCTGTAAAGTCAATAAAATAAATTTTTAAAAATTTAATTTACATATATGTCTTGAACCACAATTCAAACCCAAAATGTCTTGATCCAGAGTCCACAATTCAACTACTGTTCATATTGCCTCTCTCTAGCTATCTTTACAGTAATTCACAGGTGAGATTATCAGGATTGTACACAACAGCCTTTAAAGAATAAGGGCTTGAAGAATGATATAAGGACTTCATTAGGATAGATGCTAGGATAGAAGCAAACTTACCTGCTTCCCTTTGATATGATCAGGAGACTTTAAGTGTTGTTGAACTGAGCTATATAAAGCAGGGATATACATACTACAAGCACTGCAGTGAACAGTCTCTACTTTCATCATGTGATCATCTGCAGAGACACCTACAAAAAATCCAATAAATAAAAAGAAATGATTCGTATATTTTTATTTCAGATAAATCAAGTTTTATTTTGTTTCCATCATTATTTATATTCCTTCCAAAAATACTAGCAGGATTGAAGAATATAGTTAATGTTGAGTTTTTCTATATCTCATAAATCTGCACATAAAAGACAAAAGACTAAAATTATAAAGTATAATTACATTTTATTTCTTAGTTATGTTATATAATTATGGTCTGAAGCCTATACATTCATCCCAAAAAGAAAATATTAAAAAAAAAAAAATGTGAGCCGAGACCCGTTTGGCTCAATGGATGGAGCGTCGGCTTGGGGACTGAAGGGTCCAGGGTTCGATTTTGGTCAAGGGCATGTACCTTGGTTGCGGGCATATCCCCAGTAGGGAGTGTGCAAGAGGCAGCTAATCGATGACTCTCTCTCATCGATGTTTCTAGCTCTCTATCTCTCTCCCTTCCTCTCTGTACAAAAATCAATAAAATATATATTTTTTTTAAAATGTGATTTTTTGGTAAAATAAGAATTTTCATGATTATGAATGTGGGTGGCAAGGACTAAGGGAAAAGACATCAAAATTGGATTCATGAGGAACAAAATATGTTGGACCTTGAAAATAGTAATTGATATTTATTACAGGTAAATATATAAATATGTGCAAAGGGTAGGTTTAAGAGAAAAATGGCTCCTTCTGGGAACTGTAAGTGATTCTGGAGCACAGAGTATAAAGAAAGGACAAAAGATGAGAATAGAGAAAAAGAGAAAGGCCTAGACCCGTAGTCAGCAAACTGTGGCTCGTGAGCCACATGCGGCTCATTAGCCCCTTGAGTGTGGCTCTTAAACAAAATACCATGGCCTAAGCAACTCTATTTGAAGAAGTGGTGTTAGAAGAAGTTTAAGTTTAAAAAATTTGACTCTCAAAAGAAATTTCATTTGTTTTACTGTTGATATTTGGCTCTGTTGACTAATGAGTTTGCCGACCACCGACCTAGACCATGGAGAGCCTTTTGTGCCATGCTTCAGAATTTGAATTTTATTCTCAATGGGGGAACCACTGAAAATTCTTGAAGTAATGATGCAATATAGTAGAATTAGAGGTCAAAAAGACTGGAAGAAAACTAGTTAACAAAATACTGCAATTGTCAAAAGAGCACACAAAGATTTGAATAAATGCATTATTTAAAGAGGAGATAAACAGACTTAGTAGACATTTAAAAGATGGAACCTAAAGATCACAGTGCTACAGATAGAATCAAATCACAGTAAGTACTCAGGTTTTAACTTCATATTTCTGGCTTTGATGGGAGGATCACTTTCCAACATAATGAAGGAGGTATTTGTAGAGTATTTGTTTTGTTTTCTTCATGGGCTGGAGGATGCTCAAAGATAGGTCAGAGTTTTTGGATATGTTGATTTTGTGGAACTGCTGAAGAGATGTGAATAGGCAGTTGGATGTATAACGTTAGAGTTCCAAAGTGAGATCTGTGCAATAGATGCGTAAGTAATTAACAAAAGTGTTAATTTAAGCGCTGTAAATAATATAGGAAGAAATAGAGAGATAATAATGGGACAAATGACAGGATACTGGGAAAAACTGACTTTTTTAAAAAAATATATATTTTATTGATTTTTTACAGAGAGGAAGAGAGAGGGATAGAGAGTTAGAAACATCGATGAGAGAGAAACATCGATCAGCTGCCTCTTGGACATCCCCAACTGGGGATGTGCCCACAACCAATGTACATGCCCTTGACCGGAATTGAACTTGGGACCCTTCAGTCAGCAGGCTGATGCTCTATTCACTGAGCCAAACCAGTTTCGGTGGAAATACTGACTTCTAAAAGCCTGATACACAAAGAGAAGCACACAAAGTAAAAAATGACAAGGGAATACAGAGAACATCAAGGCCATGAGATATCAGAGAAACCAAGGGAGGAAATGGATTCACATAGAATAAAGTTATCAATGGAAAATGTTGCAGAAGTAAGATAATGATTCAAAACAATCTATTGAAGTTGGTAATCTCTGTCAGGACAGTTTCAGTCAACTAATAGTAGCAGAAAATTATCTACTATAAGTAAAGCAATAAATGGGAAGTGAAGAAATAGAGACCAGTGTGGACTTGGCTGTTTAAAGAGAAAGGCGGATTTTAGGTGAACAGAAGTTCGTTTTTATTTTCCTCTGCTCCTTTGGCTTTTTTTTTTTTTTTTTTTAAGATAAGAATAGGCTTCAGGGAGGGAATTAAAAGAGAAAAGGAAAAACAAAAGAGGAAAAGTCCTTAAGGAAATGATATGGATAAGAAAGACAGGGCAGATGGCAGAACTTCTATTTAGAAGTAAAGCTGATTTTTCCTCTAAAACTGAAGTGAAGGCCACAAGGGTAGGAAGTGATAAATTTGTAAACATGAGAACAGGAAGTCAAAGTTCATTTCTTATAACCCACTCAGTGCTATCAAACATAACTATGTACTGTATCACTCTAGTGGGCATCATTTACATAGAAATAGGTTACAGTGTAAAATACACATGTAAATTTTCTAAAGCAATCTGTTTACTTACCTTCCATAACATCTTTTTCAATTATTTTGACTGCTTCTGTTTGATTATTTGTCTGTTGCTTACGAATAGATGTTTTCTTGAATTTATTCACCATACATTCCTAGAAAACAAAATAGGAATAATTCAAAAATTATCAGTGAGCATTTAGCATATGCTCAGCACCATGCTTGGCCTATGAAACAGTATGTGTTACATAAGAACTAGTATATGTTCTCAAGAAGCTTACAATTTAGTTGAAAAGATTATCATAATGTACCAATAAACTACAAAAAGTATTCACTTTTCTAACATATTCTAGGCAGATAGAGTACGAGAAATCAAAGAGAGTAGACAAGTCAAGGTTTCTCTGGCCTGGACAGTGGTTGAGCGTCAAACTATGAACCAGGAGGTGATGGATAGATTCCCGGGTAGGGCACATGCCCCAGTTGCATGCTTAATTCCCAGTAGGGGAGTTGCAGGAAGCAACCAATCAATAATTCTCTCTCATCATTGATATTTCTATATACTAGTATTTCTCTCTCCCTCTCCCTTCTTCTTTGAAATGAATTAAAATATATATTTTTAAAATTTTATATATATATATATATATATAGAGAGAGAGAGAGAGAGAGAGAGAGAGAGAGAGAGAGAGAGGTTTTCTCTGAGCAGATGAACACTTAAGTCCTAAATGACAAGAACCAGTTAAGGAATGAATTACAAACCAATTATAATTAAGGGACACAATTCTGCAAGGATATAGAAGAGTGATCATTGTATTTCTAGCCTTCTAACAAGTCTATCTCCCCTGCCCAAATTAACTGTATGCATAATTAGTAGTCCAGCTCTAACACCTTTCTTAAGCATCCCTGAACCCAACTATCCTCCCTTACTCCAAACCCCTTCTGCACATACTATCATTCTTGGCCCTCCCACTTAACTGTGTCATGTGTATGAGTGTGTTCTATTTCCAACTGTTGTCTGTTCAATGAGGATAGTGTCTGGGTCTTCAGTGCCTACACAGCACATTTCATAAATATTCAAGAAAAATTGTTGAACTGATGACCACACACTCATAATACAAAGGGCACTAAACAGACACCTGGCTCTCTGGCTCTGAATTAAAACTCTATTACTTACTGAGTCATTAAATTGTTCTGAGCATGATCTTTCATGCTAAAAAAGGAGTTGTTCTGAGGCTCAAATAAAATAGCAGCACAATGTATGATAGCTGATTTAGCATTAAGTTGTTCAAGGAATTCTTTTTCAGACACCTGTACCAAAAATTACTCTAGGAAATATAAAATGTCCCCTCAAATAACAAATCTAAATTTTATTTACAATAGGAATTAACATCTAATTCCAGGTTCATTTTAAAATAACGAAGTAAAGAGTAAATTAAAATTTTAGAAACATAATATGGAGAACTATAAAAAAAATAAGAAATTGAAATTTCAGATAAAGTGCTTATCACTTTAAAAACAGCTACTTACATGCAAAAACTCCATAACTACTTTATCAAATTTAGTTTGCTTCTGAATATGATCTAATGTTTCCTGGTGTGAAGAACTTTCCAGATGCAGTTCAATATCTTTTTCTTCAAACGTTCGAAATTTACAAAATGAACATGTGAATGCCATTCTAGAAGGGAAAAAAGTATTTCTTTATATATATTATTTTATTTACTTACAGAGTGCATATAAAGATAACAATGAAACTAATTTTAGTAGCATGATTTCCTTTCTTCCATTTTATGGATGATGTAAATTTAGCTTAAGTCAAAAAATAATATTTCATTAAGAATCCTATTTGGATAACACTGTCATTATACTACTTTGCATTTCTGACCCACCCTGGAGCTTCTGAGTATGAAAGATGGAATATCTATATCTTCTTCATCTAATCCCAAACTCTCTATTTCAAGCTTAGATCATTAGAAAGCCAAAGCAAACCGTGAGAGGTATCAATTTCCAAAGTTCCACTACTTGTTTTACAGTCTGTTTTATCCTCCAGTTTCCAAACCACCAAAATAGTATCAACACAGCCAGGTGGCCCATCAGACAACCATAATTCACTCTCTTGGAATCTTGGGTGACCAAAGTCCTGTTCCCTAAAGACCACTTCAGATAACTAACAGTCCTGGTCTGGACAAATGCATACAATTTAGAAGCTCTGGAACCAAACCAAAATGAAGTCCTTCATTTTCTCCCATTTAACTGTTCCTATCTTACATATTCTCATTTCTTTTTCCTACAATTATAACCACCATTTCCTTACTTGTTTCTTTGTCTCCAGCCTCCATTTTCCAATTAATTCCTTACACTACTATTAGACTTATTTCCTGATAAAGAGTATGGGATCTGGAGCCAACTTCTGGGTTAATATCCTAGCCCCCTTCTGTGACCTTAACTTAACTTCCTCTGGGCCTTAATTTTCTTATCTTAATGAGACCAGGATTTAAAAAATTAATAAGTACTAACTGGTTTTGTTCAGTGGATAGAGCGTCAGCCTGCAGACTCAAGGGTCTCAGGTTCAATTCAGGCCAAGGGCAAATACCTTGGTTGAGGGCACATCCCCAGAAGGGGGTGTGCAGGAGGCAGCTGACTGATTTATTTCTCTCTCATCAATATTTCTAACTCTCTATCCTTCTCCCTTCCTCTCTGTAAAAATCAGTAAAATATATTTTAAAAACAAATAAATAATACATATAAAGCCCTTAGAACACTTTCTGGCACATGGTAATTATTCAATTAACTAGAGGCCTGGTGCAGATTCATGCACCAGTGGGGTCCCTCAGCTTGGCCTACAGGGATCGGACCAAAACTGGCAATTAGACATCCCTCAAGGTATGTAGCAGTGCATGCAGGAGCAGGCAGCAGGAAGGAGCCTGAGCCCTGCCACAGCGCCCCCACTCATTCTGCTCACGCTTATCCAGGCCCACTGCGCCTGCTGAGGCCATCACCGCATAGTAGGCTCAGTGGGCTCACTGTCTCTCCACTGCAGTCTCTGCACACCCGTCCTAGGGCAATACCTAGAATCCGCCACAGCCTCGCACCCAGTCAGTTCCGATGCCAGTCCCAATCCTGGCTCAGATGGGAAAGGCACAGGGGGAGTGTCCACAGAAGAGGCTTGCGCTGCCATAGCTGTGCTCATCAGCTATGAGCCCAGCATCTATGGAGCTCCCACTCTGGGAGCACACTGACCGCCTAGGAGTAACTCATGCATTGAGCGTCTGCCTCCTGGTGGTCAGTGCACATCATAGCAACCAATCAAATGGTCACTTAGGCTTTTATAAATATACTTAGAGGCCTAAAGCACAAAATTCATGCAAGGGACCCTGCCCCTGCGGTGGCTGCCTCTGCTTCAGCTCCCACCACTATGGCTTCATCCAGCCTAATTAGCATATTACCCTTTTATTATTATAGATATAGACTAGTGGCCCAGTGCACAAAATCCGTGCGGGGTGGGGGTAAGGGGTGGGAGGGAAGGGGTGTTCCCTCAGCCCAGCCTGCACTCTCTCCAATCAGGGACCCTTTGGAAGATATCTGATTGCCAGTTTAGCAGAAATATAGCGATCGGACATCTCTCTTGCAATCTGAGAATGCTGGCTCCTAACCACTCACCTGCCTGCCTGCCTGCCTGATCACCCTAACTGCTCTCCCTTGCTGGCCTAATCTCACCCCCAACTACCCTCCCCTGCTAGCCTAATCTCATCCCCAACTGCTCTCCTCTGCCAGCCTGATCTTGCCCAGTCTCTGTCTCTGTTTTTCTCAGCAGTCCTCTAGGCTTCCCTGCCTCCCTCTTCTTCTTTCCTGGATAGGAGGGGGCGAGGTCAGAGGGGGTGAGGCCAGTGGGGGCCACTCCACCCTCTACTCACTCTCCCTTCCATCCAGGCCTCTTCAGGCCCAGTCTGTTTTGTTTTCTCATTCTGAGATAGGCTAAAAGAATAAGCTGGGAGGGAGGGAAAGGAAGGAAGGAAAGGCTGTGGGTGCTGTGTGTGTCTGTGCATGTGTGCAGTTGTGAGTGTGAGTGCTGGCCCTACCTCCCCTGTCCCTATCTCCACTGCCACAAGTTCTCACCCACCAAAGCCTGCTGCACGGGCTAGCCTGGTCAAGCCTCAGTCATTGTGACAGACTCAGGGTTTTTATATATTAGGATTATTGTTGCTTCCTGAAGGAGGCAACAGCACATTACTGCTCAAAAAGCTTCACTGGCTCCTTATGGCTCAAAAAAAGTTAAAATGCTTTCAGTACCCTTTAGAACAGCACTTACTCTGTCCTATCATTTGGTTTCACCCACTAATAACTTTAACAGTATCTGGAACATAGTATGTTTTCATTAAATGTTTCAATTAGCTTACACCTTTCAGCTCACTAGTCTTTTTCAATCTAAACAGCTTTCCATTTCCTGAATATGAAGGAAACATTCCTGTTTGTTTTTTTTTACTTTTTTACCTCAAACCATGACCTCTACCTGAGCTGCCTAACAACTCTATTGTCACACCCCCACTACCCCCGCACCATTCCTAAATCTGTTAAAATCCACTGATCCATTTCCCTGCACCCCTATGTAGTCTCCTATATGACTACTTTGTTCTTTCTTTTGGCACTCTTCACCATATACTTTGCACCTCTCAAAAACCCATTCCTTTTCCTCCAGTTCCCTATCTTTCCATCTTCTTTATTATATTAAAAACATTCAAATATCCAAGAAAATATATATATATATATATATATATATATATATTGTCACAAGAATAGTTCCTTTCTGTAAATCTCTTATCCTAACTCAAAAACTGTTCTGATAAATTGAAATAATTCCCAGACTATTTAAAAAGATACTTATCCAAAAATGACAATGTAACTGAACTAATAATACTCTTTTATTTATGTCATCAAGTTTATATTCAGAATTATGGAAAAAATAGTAGATGAAAGCTCACTTCTTTTATTTTCTCCAAATCACAATATATATTAACATGGATATATCATATCCAAACCTATAATTTTATTAGATAAAGTATTCATAGGGTAAATGGAAAAATTAATCCTATAATATAAAATCATCTTTGAACTCCTAAACATTTGATACAAAACATTCATTTTAGTTTGTTTCTGCAACAAAGTAAACAAGTCCTTTTATCCTTGTCAAAAGAAGAATATCAGAGTGGGAAATATTCCCAAGGACCACAAGGGGTAGCTGCCCTTTAAAATTTCTTTCTATGAGTTAATTCTAAATAAGCTTAATTATATTGTTTCCCAAATCCCAACAATTAGAAGTAACAAACCAGAAAGAATATTGTTAAATGTTATTAAAACTAGACACAAAGATTACACAAGTAATATCTTACCTACTAGTATCAAACAAAAAGTCTGGGAATTAGATGCAACAAATTTTCTTTTACTATATTTTACATAAATAAAACCAATGTATATATTAAAACCAAGTAATAACAAAGTATCCTGTTTAATATGGAAGAAAAATCATACATTTTAAAAATACTTCCTTGAAAGAGTTTGCAGATTCTGCTCTTAAAATGTTATCTTTTGAATAGTTTAGACATCTAGAAAATTCATTTAGCTGAAATATTTCATTCCCTTCATGCTACACATACAAGTTAACCTTTATAGAGCAAAACTGTATTTTGAATGAGAAAAATACTGAATTTACTTTTTCAACTTTATATTTTTTATTTCCCTAGCATAAGTAGTATCCTGCCCAGAGGAATAAAAATAAACATTAATACTGCCTTTTCAAAAAAACTTCCTAGTAGACCCTTTTTCCCCCCTATACATAGATTTCATTTTGCGTATATAAAGGGTGGAGCAAAATAGGTTACAGTTATGAGTACATGGAACAACTTATTCTTGTATTATTAGTCATGAATTGCGGTATTATTGTTCACATGAACTGTAAACCTACTTTTGCCCCACCCTGTATTTTTCTATTGTGCCTGCATTTTCTGCATATTGTTTCAGGCTTTATAACCAAAGGCATAAGAGTCATGAAGGGATGTGTTTAACCTTACATAATGATTGGTTACATGCTATTGCTGGTTTTGGAGCTATTATAAATAATGCTGCAATGAGTATCTTTTCAGATTAAAGTCTTCTACACTTTTAGGTTATTTTCTTGGAGAGATAAAAAGTATAAAAAAATTCAAGACATTTTTAAAAACTGATAAATTGCTTCCCAGTAGTTATGTTACATAGTCACCAGAAAATTATGTCTTTTGACTGTATCCGTTAATCAACATTATTTCTTCCTAGCTAATAAAAATGCTATACTATTATTTAAATTTCCAGTTTATTTACTCTAGAATTATTATATAGCTGTTGTTCTTTCACCAAATTATGTATTGGGCATCTTATTTCCTTGTTTTTTTTTAAAAAAAATCTGGTTGTGGAATGAACCAGAGCAACAGAGGCCAGGCCCTGAGCAGCCAGGCCCAGAACAGCTCGCTCCTTGCCTGCCCCTGCCCCACGGCTGCTTCTCAGACATGGCTGGAAACTTTCGTGGGAACTTGAGGGTCTGCTGAATCAAGTGATGAAGGCTTAGATCTGGATGTGTTGAGTTAGTTTAGGACTGGGGTGTTGATCTGTGAGTGCCTTGGGTGGGGCCTGGATGAGGCTGGTTGACCTAGAGGGAAATGTCTTTTGTATGAAGTGTATCATTGGGCATGTGGAGGTATTATTGATATGAGAAAATGCTAAATAACTGATTTACTATCTGAAAAGGGATTTACTATTGGGGAAATTGAGGGAAGAAGAGACTGAACATAAACTGCACCTATGGATGAGGACAATGGGGGGGGGGAACGAAGGGTGGGAGGGGGAACCTGGTGGAGGGGGGAAGAAATGAGGAACCTTTGTAATAATATGAACAATAAAGATTGATTAAAAAAAATAATAAAAAAAAATAAATAAATAAATAAAAAAATAAAAAAAATCTGGTTTAGTGATATTTATCTAACTTAGACATTAATCATTTTTCATGTTTATATTTTCCAAGTCTATTTGTTTTCCTTTTAAGTTTAAAATTTGTATCTTAACAAATCTGTAATTTATTGTAAAACTTTTGCAATTTATTGCCGAAACCGGTTTGGCTCAATGAATAGAGCGTCGGCTTGGAAATTGAAGGGCCCCGGGTTTGATTCCGGTCAAGAGCATGTACCTTGGTTGCGGGTACATCCCCAGTAGGGAGTGTGCAGGAGGCAGCTGATCGATGTTTCTCTCTCACTGATGTTTCTAACTCTATCCCTCTCTCTTCCTCTTTGTAAAAAAATCAATAAAATTTGTTAAAAGAAAAAAAAAAAAAAAAAACTTCTGCAATTTATTATAAAACTTTTAAGCTTAGAAAACAAAACCTTCTTGCAGGATTAAAATGTTCCATTTTAGTTTCCTGTTATTTTCCATTTTTTTAGGTTAATTAATCTGGATTCATCCTTGCTGGTGTAAGAAGAGGATCTAAACTATTTTTCTTGCTATTGTTCAGTTGTTCAAGCAATTCTCCTTTCATTTGCAGTTATCTTCTTTATTATACACTAGAGGCCGGGTACATGAAATTCATATTGGGGGGGTGGGGGGGAAGAGGAGAGGGAGGAAGGGCTGTCCCTCAGCCCAGCCTACACACTCTCCAATCCAGGACCCTTCAGGAGATGTCCGACTGCAGGGCCCCTAACAACCTCTGCCTGCCTGCCTGATTGTTCCTAACTGCTCCCCTGCCAGCCTGACTGCTCCCTAACTGCCTCCCCTGCCAGCCTTATCGCCCCCTAACTGTTCCCCCATGCTAGCCTGATCACCCCTAACCACCTCTGCATCAGTCTATGCCACCTTGGCTTTGTCCAGAAGAATGTCTGGTCTAATTAGTATAGATTACATTCATACATATAACACATCTGCTTATAGGTTAATAATTCAGTTACACTGATTACCTTTTTCTAGTATAACTTTGTTTCAATATCTTAAAAAGCTAGTATCTACTCATTTATTATTCTTTTTGTAAAATTTAATTTTCCTACCCAAGATTACTATGGCTCAGTTGGAGCATCATTCCATACACCAAAAGGTTGCGGGTTCAATTTCCAGACAGGGCATGTACAGGAGGCAGCCAATTAATGTTTCTCTCTCTCTCCCTCTCCCTCTCCCTCAATTCCTTCCTCTCTCTAAAATCAATAAACATATCCTTGGGTGAGGATATATATATCTGTGTGTGTGTGTGTGTGTGTGTGTGTGTGTGTGTGTGTACGTATGTATATATGTATGAATATGTATATATATCCTACCTAATAAAAGAGTAATATGTAAATCAACCATCACTCCGCTACACCCACAAGCCATGTCCACCATCCAATCAGTGAGTATGCAAATTAACCCCAACCAAGATGGCTGCAGCCACAGAGAACAGTTGAGAGGCTTGGGTTTCCCCAGCAATAGAGGAAGCAAAACTTTCCACACACCATTGTCAGCCTAGGCATCCATTTAAGGATACAAAGTTTCAATTATAGAAGATAAATAAATCCCAAGAAAAATGGAAGCTACCACAGAACTGGAGAGAACAGGCTAGGGTTGCCCCTGCCAACAGAGGAAGCCAAGCTTTCCACCTGCCCTGGCCAGCCAAGGCTTCCACTTAAGGATACAGACCAACACAGGCCCCTTGCCCAGGTCACACCACACCCCAAGGGAACCCCCACCCTGATCCGGGACACCCTTCAGGGCAAACCAGCTGGATTACAACACGCTTTTATCCCCAGCTGGCCCCCACCCATGCACCAGGCCTCTATCCTATCTAATAAAAGAATAATATGCAGATTGACCATCACTCCAACACACAACATGGCTGCCCCCATGTGGTCAAAGATCCTGCCCCTATGTGGGCACAAGATGGCCATCACAAGATGGCCAGCAGGGGAGGGCAGCTGAGAGGCACATGCCTGCAAAAAAGGGCAGTTGAGAGGGACCAGGTCTGCAAGGGAGAGCAGTTGGAGGCAATCAACACTGCAGGGGAGAGCAGTTATGGTGACCAGGCTGGCAGAGGAAAGTTGGGGGCAAACAGGCTGGCAGGGAGCAGTTAAGACATCAATCAGGCTGACATGGGAGTGGTTAGGGTTTGATCAGACTGGCAGGCAGAAGGGGTTAGGGGCAATCAGGTAGGCAGACAGGAGAGCAGTTGGGAGCCAGCAGTCCTGGATTATGAGAGGAATGTCGAAGTTTGGAGAGGCAAAGTTAGGGGCAATCAGGTAGGCAGACAGAAGAGCAGTTAGGAGCCAGCAGTCCTGGATTATGAGAGGGGTCCCAGATTGGAGAGAGCGCAGGCTGGGCTGAGGGACACCCCCCAACCCCATGCACAAATTTCATGCATCGGGCCTCTAATATGTATGAATGTATGTATGTATTATTATTTCCATATATATATATATATATATATATATATATATATATATATATAATTATTATTTCTCCATATAGTAAAATCTCAAAGACTTTGTGGTTTTCCCCATATTATGACATAGATTTCTTATTAAGAATACTGTATTTCTGGATATTATAAAACAATTAAAATTACTAAATGGGACTTTTTTCTTATATTTTCTAAATGGTAATTATATATAAATATCAAAAACATTCCTACATATCTCTGATCAAACTTTTCATTTAATGCTCAGGAATTTTTTTACATTCCAATTAATTGCCTTATATAGAAAATGGTTTAATAATGAGCCCAATTTTCTGACTACTAAGCAAGCACAAACCTGTATCCATCTCCATATTTCTCACTGTTTTTTTCCCTTCTGCGCCTTTGTTTCTCTCGCCGAGCCTCAATTCGCCGCTTTTCTTCTTCTTCTTCATTTTTTAGATCAATTTTTGCTAGGATATCAGACAAAAAAATATTAAGACTATAGATTTCCATTCTCCTTTTCCAGTCCCAGTTTATAAAATACAGACATGCAAAGTTTACTTGTTGGTATCAGATTAAATTGAACTCAAATAAATAAATAAATAAAATCAAAGTTCAAGATTACCCCGTGTATATAATCATCATGAATTTTGTCATATTTACTTATCTATGGGATCTTTGCTATATATTTTTCTTCTCTAACTGGTCCTAAGTACCTTATTCATTTTTCTTATTCTTATTTTCCTTATTCTTATTTTAAGCAATAAAATCACTATGACCTAAAACAGCAATTTTTAAGCAGTGTGCCACAAAAATTTTTAAAACATGCAATACCTGACTATTTAGTCAGTGGCACTGACTTCTTTTTCCTTTGTCAAATTTAAAACATGACAACGAACAACACAATAGCCATCTAGTGTGTATGAATCAAAATTAAACCTATTTTTTGGTCAGTTTAGGAAAAAGTTTTATATATCTTTTGGTGTGTGTCACCGAATTTTATTAATTGTTTTATGGGTTGAATACTGCTGACCTCAAATCATCTTGAATACCACTTTAAGAAACACTGAAGTAAACTGATGCTGCATTAAAATGGAATTAAATGAAAACTAGATGCCATGGATATAAAAATTCATATATATTATATGTGCTTTCCCAAAATTTCTCAAAAGGTATGAACTCTAATTAAAGCAGTTTCTTCCTCTTTTTAAGAAAGCATTTTAATGCAAATATAATCCTATATAATAAAAGCCTAGGTAGCATTGTGCAACATCACAAGATGGCGGCCACAAGATAGTCACAAGATGGCCACCACAAGATGGCTGACAGGGGAGGGTAGTTGTGGGTGATCAGGCCGGCAGGGGAGGCAGTTGGGTGCAACCAGGCCTGCAGGGGAGGGCAGTTGGGTGCGAACAGGTCATAAGGGGAGAACAGTTAGGGATGACCAAACCTGCAGGGCAGTTGGGGTTGATCAGGCCAGCAGGGTAGGGCAGTAGAGGATGATTGGGCCAGCAGGGGAGGGTCGTTGGGGGCAATCAGATTGGCAGGGGAGCAGTTAGGTGTCAATTAGGCTAGCAGGGGAGTGGTTAGGGGGTGATCAGGCTTGGCAGGCAGGCAAGTGAGCGGTTAGGAGCCAGCAGTCCTGGATTGTGAAAGGGATGTCCCAAATCGGAGAGGGTGTAGGCCAAGCTGAGGGACATTCCCACCTCCCTATGCATGAATTTCAAGCCCTGGGCCTCTAGTAAAGTAATAAAATACCTGATATAAAATTTACCATTCTAACCATTTCCAAGTGAACAATTCAGTGACAATAAGTACAGCATAATGTTATCCAACCATCATCACTACTTAGTTTCAAATTTTTCATCACCCCAAATGGAAAGTCCATATCCAGTAAGTAGTCACTCCCCACTTACTCTTTCCCCAACCACTTGGTAACTACTAATCTACTTTCTGTCTCCACAGATTTCTCTGTTCCAGATATTTCATATAAATAGAATCCTACAATATGTGGCTTTTTTGTCTGGCTTCTTTCATTTAGCATAGTGTTTTCAAGGTTTATTCACATACTGAACCATGTATCTGTACTTACTTCCTTTTTAATGAATGAATAATATTCCACTGTGTGAACAGATCACACTTTCTTTTATCCATTCATTAGTTAATAAACAATTGCATTGTTTCCATCTTTTGGCTACTATGAATGCTGCTGCTATGAAAATTTGTGTACAAGCTTTTGTTTGAATATTTCTCTTCAATTCTTTGAGGTATATGCCCAGGAGTGGATTGCTGGGTTATATGGTCAGTCTACATTTATTCATTCGAAGAACTATCAAAATGTATCCCATAACAGTTGCGCCATTTTAGATTCTCAACAGTAATGTGTGAGGGTACTAACTCTTCCACTCCTTGCCAACCCTTTGTTTTTATTATATCCATCAACTTCACATGGTGTGAAGTGGTATCTCACTGTGAGCAAGTTCTTTCTTATAATACATTTAACTTTAGACTTAAAAAAACTAATCTGCCCTTAAAGTTTTCCTTTTATGCATTGTTTTCCTTTTAGATTATGTTTGCAAAAATACGTAATATAAAATCATGAATAACTAGGGATTCATAAACTTGACAGTAAACAAGTTTTAGGCAGCATTTGCTATGTATACAGGCTAATGTTTCAAAATTATCTAAAATCAATACCTTAAAACTCAGTATCTAAATTGCTTTTTATCATTTTATAAGAGCTTAAATGTATATTCTTATTAATTAACCATTTCCATATTCCCATTGGATTTCCTTAAAACTCTCTATGGAAAATCTACAGATATATGACCTCAAACTAGAAATAATTGCATTTCCCTTTCATATGCTAAAGCTGTGACATATTAGTATATTGTACCTCCTGCGAAATGACTGAACATGGTTTCTTCTACTGCTTTCTGCAAATCATATAGCATATATTACAAGACCTCCTAATCCTAAATATTTACAGATAGTTCTTAAATACCTACCTCATGCCTGACAGTAAAAGGATGAACTGAGTATAGAATTTTGGCTTCATTCTTAGCTATACTACACTATTCTCAAATATTGTTTAAAAAAAAAAAAAAGAAAGTGGGGGGGTAGGGGGAAGAGATATCCTGGACAGTGTGTTCAGTGGTAGTGTTAGCCCATGCACCAAAGGGTCCAAGGTTTGATCCCCAGGTCAAGGGCATGTACCTGGGTTGCAGGTTCGAGCCCAGCACTTGTCAGGGTTCATAGAAGAGGCAATTGATCGGTGTGTCTCATAACTCATTCATTCACTCATTCATTTTCTCTCTCTCTCTCCTCCCCTTCCCTTCCACTCTCTAGAAATCAATGGAAAATATATTCTTGGATGATGATTATCCAACAACCTAAAAAAGTCATCATGTCCAGAAGATTAAAAGCAAATTAATTTTCTAGAAGTATAGATTTTCCTGGTACCTGGGACCATGAAACATTTCTTCCCTTTGTCCTCATAAAGAGGATTCTATGTAATATAACACTTCCTCAGCACCTCCAACAATAAATATACTGTAACATCCAGCAGTTTGACTCAAAATCATGTGTGAAGCCATTTAAATATTTAATTATTCTAGCTCCACCCTAAACCAGGATTTAGGGAAAAGGGATAGATCAGGGTATGTGAACTTAAAAAGTATCTTGTGCCCTGGTTAGTGTGGCTCAGTTGGTTAAGCGTCACCCAGTGCCCTGAAAGGGCAATGACTCACTCAATTCCCGGTCAGAACACGTACCCAGTTTGTGGGTTCGATCCCCTGTCTGGTTGCATGTAGGATGCAACCAATCAATGTTTCTCTTTCACATTGATGTTTTTCTCTCTCCTTCTCCTTTCCTCTCTCTCTCTATAATCAATATAAACATTTTTTTTTAAAAAAATAAAGTATAAAAATGTTAAAAATAAAGTTTCTTATTAATTTTGATGTCATGAATAATAACTGTACTAGGGGTTTCCTGGAACCTAACCACTATAATTAAATTGCAACTTGTCTATATAAACACGAAAAATTATCTAAAAGCACTGGATTTAAAAAGGTAAAAAGTATTCTCAACAATTATATTTTCTTACTTACTTGGTGATTTGCTGAGGTTCATCTTCTCCACAGGTTTTGCTAGCTTGGGTTTCTTGATGAAGGTTCCACTGGGCTTATTAAATTGTTGCATCATTTTTCTCTTTATTCCTCTTGTAGCAGCAACTGTCACATTGGCGGGTTTATTTTGATAGTCAACAACAATTCCAGGTCTATGAATGCTTCCAAAATCACTCATATGCTGCAAATTTGTGAAATCAAAAAACATTAACATAATATCCAAATATAAAAAATGAATTCATACAAAATGTACATGTTTTCTATCTAATAATTTTTACCTAAAAATTCCCCAGAATGTAATAAATTTACATGTCCACTCTGAATAAACACATTGAAAAATTTCGTAAATTATTACATGAACTTGAATCCAGTCAATTAGTATTTTTATTTCCAGTAGAACAAATATATTTCCTATTTTTATTTTTACAATTCAATATTAGTTGAAGTCATAAACAACATATGTGCCTGTCAAAATATTACCACTTGTACAACTCTCTGACAACTCCTCTTCAGAGTTCCTAATTGATATTTTCCCATGAAAAGACCTTAAAATAAATCTTTATTTTACTAAAGCCTAGCTCATGACTAAGAAACACAAAGAAGACCATATTTGAAGTTTGAAGTAAAAAAGATCCAGAAATCATTTATGATTTCTCCCTGTTGAAAAAGGGAATGAGAAGGCGAGATGGAACATTAGTATGAAATAGGAGAGTTAAAGCATAACCATGCATCAACTTCCAAGACACACTTCGGATAAAGAATTACATCTGACGTTCCATTCACATTCTTACCTAGAGAAACATATTCTGACCCAGAAGCCTGAGGAGCAAAAGTTTACAGACGAAGAGTCATGCAACCAAGCGACTCTGTGTCCCTTCCTCTTTTAGTCATTAACAAAATCCACTACACCAAGAGGTCACATGTGCATAGGAATTTGTTCTTCTAACCTTACTTTTATAAGATAAAGAATGAGGAGTCATCTGAAGAGAAGGATCCAATGGGAATTGTACAAGTGAAGATTAAAAAAGAAAACCCTATTGGTTCATCTACTTCATTAACACGAGGAAAGAAAGAAAAGTCCATTCAGACTAGAATGGTGAATACAAAGTACAGGAATACCTGTTTTCCTATTATAAACAGAAAATTGATATTTGAAGTCTCGTTAAGAAAAAAGTCATTTGCCTGTAAATAATAAAGCATGGAAAATGCTAGGTGTTTTCAAATTTTACCCCCATTATTTTCCTTTAACCTACAATCATAAAATATGGAGGAATAGCAACATATTGCTTACATTTGTATATTATGCTTAGGATACCTATCTAACCTAGTGGATTGGAATAAATTAGTGTAGGAAGAGAATACAGTCACATCAGAAAAATTTGATTAATTATCCATTAAAGGTGCAATGCATTTTACATAAAGGTTAACTGTTATAAATGAAAAATTTCTAAACAAGTATGACACACTACACTGATGTACCAAAAGCTAGTAAACAGTCAAAACGTGTGCCCTACTACATTTTTTATCAGAAGTACTTCCCTCTGCAAAGAGAATATTAAGAGTCACTGACTCAAAAAAGAAAAAAAAACAAATAAAAAAACCACAATACAGTATTCTTTATATGACCAAACTAAATAATAACTCCATAACCTACATACACTTACTAAGTAAAATTTCATGTTAGTCAAGTTACCAAAGAACATAGGCATAACCTTAAAATTAACACTGTATAACCTTAAACACTTGAAGACTACTATATCTGCTCATTTAAGCAAGAATTTACAAAATATTAGGTACTTCCTAGGAAGGATCCATAAACATTTATAGGTAGGAAATTATTTTTCAATATTAAAACTGATGACAGAGAAAATATTACACCCAGCAATAGGACATATTTTAAGAGTGAATTAGCAAAATTATATTGACCACAAATCATTCTACAACCTATTTTACATATCAACTTCTTCGCCATGTAAACAAAGCTAAGCTACCCTCAACTATCACCAACTTTTGATCTCTTATGTTTAATGTAAAATATGGAGCTTTGAAGAAATGGAGCTTAGTAGCAAAGTATAAACATTTTATCATACATTGCACCTTTAACCTACTCAAAAAACTCCAAAAGGGTTATTACCTTTTACAATAATCCAAGAACTGTCCCACTAACAAAACTGCTGGTGTTTACAAGGAAAAATGCAACTCCTTTTAACCCCTTTTAGACCAAATCTAACATCCTCACCTTTTTAATAAAGGGAGATTTGGCAAAACTTTATGAACAATCCTCTCACACTGTCACTTCTTTTCTGAGGTGCTGGAGAAAGTTTTACAGTCAACCTAAAAATTAAGCTTATGACTCAGCTTTTGCTTCAGAATACACTGGGATGAACAGTGTTTATCCTAGTTGAAAACCACGGTCTTGAAAGGGTTTAAAAGAGTGACTAGTGAAAAGAATCTGAAAAGATTCTGTTGTACTTACTCCTCGGCCTCGGCCTCTGCCTGTTGATGGTCCTCCAAAAGCATCATAGTTTCTGCTTCCAAACGTACTTTCAGGATAAGCAGGCGTTCCTCTCCCCCGAGAGCCTACAGGTGCAGGCTTCATATGGGGTGAAGAAAAACTGCTGTAGGAAGAGTAATTCTCTCTTCCTCTGTCCTCCATAAACCCAGGCCTCAATTTTGAACGGGAGTAAGGTGCTTCCCAGCTAGACCCGCCCTGGTTTCTACCTCCGAAAGAGTCAAGGCTATTCCGGTAGGAGCTCTCAAATCGACCACCATAACTACCTCCGAAGCGGCTTTGTTCGGGTTCATTAAAACCATAGCCAGATCTGTACAGATCTCGCCCACCCAGAGAAGACCTGGAGTCGTAAGACTCATAAGGTCCAAACCTGGAAAAATTGCACAGTGAGGGAAAAAACAAAAGTAAGCTTACTAATGTTAGACAATTCAAAAGACAAATTATCAGATGACATTTATCAACTAAAATTCATTTATACCATACTGGTTTGCACAGTTCTACTTTTATTCACGCTTGATTAGGGCTGGGCAATTCAACATGAGACCAGATAGAAAGCTACCTGAGTCAGTTTTTAAATATGAATTGAGTTAAGTAAAGCTTAGCTTAAAAATCTGCTTTTTAGCAGCTTTTCCATTTTATTAAAAATAAAAGATTTGTCTGAAATTATTTTAGCCCAGCCCTAGTCTTAGAAAAAGTCATTTGCTAAATTTCACAAACTACTCAAACTTTCTTTAAATCCATCCTCAATGTTAGAAAAAAAATAAAAAATATTTACAGTATTTTAGCTTTCAATAGGGACACAAATTGAAGACTACACAGAGGCAGGCTATTACGACACAGAAGAGATCCTTTTGCACCCTCAATAATCTATTTCACAAAACTGCTTCATTATGTTTATAGTTCAAATTTGGAGAAAAATCTCTGGTTATAAAATTTGACAATCTGCCAAACTTTGGCTAAGGTCAATAATCGATCCTCAGTCACTTTTCACTTATAGACTAGTAAATCTAACAAATCTAGAAGGATAAGCACATAAAATAGAACGTAAAAGAACCACCAGCATATACCCTCTGCATATAAATTTTCAAGGCAGATGAGAAAGAATACATTTTATAACATCTTCAATTATTTGAAAAATTATTTCCTGGCAGGAAATTATCACATAAAACTATGCTAAAAAAAAAGGGAGCACACAATCTCCTCAAGGTTTTAATAGAATCAACAGAAGAAACGAATCATCTTCTCACAAATCCAAAGTATGCTTTGACACTTTACAACACAGTTTTATAAAGGCCCACAATTACACGAGATAAACAATAACATCTACATAATGTATACACATTACATTTACAACGTAACAAGGCAATAATTGATATATTAAAACATTTAAATGTTACATTACTTTAATTACTTGCAGATAACTAAATAAATAGAAGGTATTATTTACTTCTAAATCCTAGTAACCATATAAAAAGTATTCCTCTTTGCAACTACATTTTTCAAAGCATCTATCTTATAAGCAAAATTGTCATAACTGTTCATTTTCTTGAACATAACTGTTCCTCTACTATGGACCATAGTGGCACACTTGAAACAGAAAGAAGAAAGGTAAGCAAGATTCAATCAATCCTTAAGGAATCTGGATCCTTCAATTTATGAAGGACGACGATAGTTTTAAATGTTCTCTAACTAGTTTTACTATTATTTAATAGGAATCTTTGTGTCTCAAAAAGTAAACTCCTTTGTCTGAGATATGGTCAACCTTAAAGCCTATAGTAGTAGCTCAACTAGGTTTATGCTTTCCAAGTATCAAAAGCAAAATATAAATACATTGCAAACACTAGTGCACTAAAATAAGCAAAAAGTATAGTATTCATGGCTTTAATACAATGCTCCTAACAAAAGTGGTTTTTGATTTCAGTAGTACCTGCCAATAAATAACCTAGATATGAGATAAAGAATGTTTTTATTATTATAATATGCTCTTACAACTTACTTCAGAGTTAAATTTAAAAGAATAGGTATCTTAAATATTTCTTAGAAATTGAACATGGCTAGGCTAGTCAAAGACTGCTTTGCTGCTTTTAACAGCACCCCACATTAGGAAAGATTTTTTTAAATCATAAGAAAAACCTTCATATATAATATTTCAAGTAACATTTTACACCATTTGTTCAAGACATTCTGATTAAGAATTTAAAGTAAAAGAAATATTCATTGCTAAAAGTAGAAAATCTTTAATGATTTATGTATTGAAATGGTAATAGTTTTCTGAAGTTCTTAAAAAAATGTCTGCCAGTGATTTTAAGATAATTTTTATAACCATTAGTTAACACCTTTAAACATTTAAGGTGATTATTCAATACCAAATAGTGAAGTTCAAGTATCATAACGTGCATAAGAAATTCTTAAATTAAAATATCCAGAATCTTATAATCTTCTAATTATTTGGCTAAGTGATTAAGCAATTTACCTGCTACCCCCACCACCACCACTGTGATTGTCCATGCCATATGACTGGTTTAGGTAGGAGTCCATGGATCTTTGACCCCCATAGGATCCATGGCCATAATCACGATCCATCCCTATAAAGGGTTTAAAAAGAAAAAAATTAAATGATGCTCACCTTTACTGGCACCCAAAAGAAGAATTTTTAGATAAATATCCTTGAATGCCAGACCTCCATAAGATCCAGGGCCATAATCTCGATCCATTCCTAAAAGAATCAATAACAAAAAGTTGGTAAAATATACCATTCTATTCAAGAATCTTTGCATAAAATACAAGATATTCATATTAATCATCTGAGAAATAGTTCATCAATAACATTTAAGCCACAGTCACACTAGACAATGAAAAAAAAAAAAACAGAGATGACAATTTACTGAAAATTCAGACTTCCTATAGAAACCTAATGTTTTAAAAGAAAAACCACAACTAGAAACTTCTACATTAGAATTACTTTCAATTTAACCAATACTTATTTGATTAGAATACTCTAAAGGCCTGGTATTAGATACTACAGAGTTTATAATTAATAATTAAAAATTATAAGAAAAATCAGTATTTAATGTCAAAAGAGAAAATTTGTGTTGTAAATATATTTTTCTTCTGTTCTCTGTGTCTAAAAAACCCAGAAGCAACCTTTTTTTCAATTAGCTGAATCTAAATTACTTGGTTTCATTATTTCATATGGTAATTGAAATAGCTATTTTTAAAAAGTAAAAATCACAGAGTGGGGCCAATTTGTGGTACTAGGCCTGTAAATAATGATTCAACAAATATTTAATTCCTCAAATACTTTAAATAAGGGAATATGAATTCTAGTAATGCACACACTAAAAAAATGTCTAATACAGTAAGAGCACTAAATATATCTTATTACACTGCAATTTTACCTCTATTTCAATCTGACATAAAAATACAATAGATAATAAAATGAATTTATTATAAAAATGAAAAAATTTAAAAACCATTTAGAATGTTCCTACGTTATGCACTAATAAATGCAATAGTGTACACAAATTTTATACAAAAATACAAAGCAAATACCTTAATTTATATTTTTAAAAACATTAAATACATTTTTAATTATAATAATCATTTAAATATTTCCGCTCCTAACAACAATAACGCTGGGAGCAAAACTTTACAAAAATACTACTTGAAATCTTGCAACTTTAAACCTGGAAGTAAACTAAATGATCAAATTCAATCTCTGTTTTACAGATTAGGGAACTGAAGTCCCAAGACATGAAATAATGTTCTTGAAGTCCCATAAGTATCTAACCCTCCAGCTTCAAACTGCTGCTTCTACCTGAAACACTCTCCTCTACTAACCCACGCATTCGTCTGTTAAAATCTCTTAAAGTCCATTTCAAATACCAATCCTATTGATATAGCCTCAGCTGATTATCATCTTTCTTCTGAATATCTACAAGTCTGTAGCTCTTATCTGGTGCTCATTATACTTTACCTTATATTCCATTTGTGACCTCATCTTAAATGTACACTAGTCTTTTGCAGGGTCTGACTTTTAGTAATCTTTTATATACTCTTGAGCAACAGTTCTCAAGGAATAGTGTGTTGACAACTGGAGGTTGCCAAGACCCTTTCAGAGGGTCCACAAGGTTAAACTATTTTCATACATAATATTAAGACATTCATTTGCCTTCTGTACAGTGTTGACATTTGCACTAAAGAATGCAAAAGCAGCCGATCCCGGTTTGGCTCAGTAGATAAGAGCGTCAGCCTGCGAACTGAAAGGTTCCGGGTTCGAATCCGGTCAAGGGCATGTACCTGGGTTGCAGGCACATCCCCAGTAGGAGGTGTGCAGGAGGCAGCTGATCGATGATTCTCTCTCATTGATGTTTCTAACTCTCTATCCCTCTCCTTTCCTCTCTGTAAAAATCAATAAAATATATTTTTTTAAAAATAATTTAAAAAAAAAGAATGCAAAAGCAGTGATGGGTAAAACTGCTGGTTTCGTAGCATAAATCAAGGCAGTGGCATTGAACTGTATTAGCAGTCATTGTATTCTTCAATACTGCACACTTTTAATAAAAATAATAAAATAAAAATGCCACCTTCACTGATGAAGCACCAAAAATGATTAATTTATTAAATCATGACTTTGAGTATACCCACTTTCTGACAGTCTGTGAAGTAAAATGGGAAGTATGCATAGCACCTGAAGCAGTATTGCTACATATCAAAGCCGCACAGTTCTCTCCAGGAACAGTCATTCTGTGAGTATTTTGTGAGCTGAATTAACCACATTTTACAAGGAATATTATTTAAGGAATACCTTTCTTACTAGAAAGAAAGACTGGCATTCAAAAACTATGGCTTTCGGTTAGGTTATTTGGCAGGAATTTTCTCAAAAATGTACAAAGTAAAACTGTCACTTCAAGAAAAGTGAAAATATTTGTTGTCAATGATAAAATTCAAGCAAAAGTTAAAATTTTATAAAACTTTTATCCACCACCTTGAGTTTGACAGCTCAATATTTAAAGGTTTTTCTGATAAAAACTGGTAGCAGTATTAATGATTTTTTATATTGTACAATAAAATCTGTCAATATATATTTGAAAAATCTGAATAACTTAGTAAACCAATATTTCCCAAATCTAATCCTGATATTACAGGATCATACATAGTAAAAAGACCCAGCAGGAGTGCAAAACATATCAATAAATTTCAATGTAACAGAATACAAAAAATTAATCAATATACAAAACATATTAACATGTTTTATATTTTTTATACTACAACTTCAAATTGGGTGTTTAGCTTACATTTATAGCACAATATAATTCATACTACCCACACTGCAAGTACTCAATAGTCACACATGGCCATATTAGATAACATAGTTCTAGACTAATAAAATAGTCAATTATTTATCTTTAGAGCTGGTGAGTATACAATATGATTTTATGCTCATACATCATATATATATGATAATTTTGAGATTAAAATTAAGTTTTCAAAATAAAATGTTCTTCTCTAAGGCTTCATCCAATAATAATAAAGCCCTAATATGCAAATCGACCAAACGGTGGAACTGGTTGCTATGATGCACAAAAACCACCAGGGGGTAGAGGTGCCCCTGGTGGTCAGTGTGCTCCCACAAGGAGTAACGCTCAGCCAGAAACCAGGCTCCCAGCTGGTGAGCGCAGCAGCTGGCAAGTGCCACTCTAGAGCAGGCCTAAGCCAGCAAACAGACATCCTTAATCCTGGACTATGAGAGGGCGCAGGCCGAGCTGAGGGATTCCCCTCCCACCAGTGTACAAATTTCATGCACTGGGCCTCTTGTCTACATACATGAAAGCCTAAGCGACCAAACCACTAAACAACCAAGCAACTGGTTGATGGGTCGCTATGATGTGCACTGATCACTAGGGCGCAGACGCTCAATGCAGAAGCTGCCCCTGGTGGTCAGCGCACTCCCACAGCCAACCTCCTGCAGCTGGCCATCTCCTGTGGTCCCTCCCCCAGGCCAGCCAGCCAACTTCCATGGTCCTTCCCCCCAGCTGGCCAACCTCCCAAGGTTTCTCCCCAAAACTGACTAACCTCCTGCAACCCCTGCCCCTCGTTAGCCCCCCAGATCAGCCCCGATGAGGTTAGGGGGGGCAGCCAGACAATCTCCCACAGTCCCCCACCTCAAACCAGCCAACCTCTCATGGTCCCTCCCCATGATTGACCCCGATGGGGGAGAAGACCTGGCCAGCCAACCTCTCCCCCACCAGCTAGCCCCCTAATAGGCCCCAATCACCTGTCAGACCAAGGGATCCCACCCATGCACGAATTCGTGCACCAGGCCTCTAATATTAAAAACAACTTTAGAGTTAGGTTCAGTCAGGTACACAAAACAAAAATCTTTATTTTACTATTTGTGCTAGTTTCTATTTTGAGTTAGCAGAGGCTGCTTTTAGTTTTTTTTTTTTATTCTGTGTTTTTATTTCAGAAAGATAAGAAGTCATAACTTACTAATATTTATTGAATACTCACCTTGTGCCAGGTACTGCAGAGTACCCAAAACTTGACAGAACTATTTTTATATAGTAATGACCTTGATTTATTGTTCACATTTATTGTTTACTGTTATTATTCAATTAATTAAAATGAAAGAGGCAATATCTTTATATTATACACTAGAGGCCCAGTGCACAAAATTTATGCACAGGGTGGGGGGCTGTTCCTTAGCCCAGCCTGCACCCTCTCCAATCTGGAACCCCTCAAGGAATGTCCGAAAGCCCACTGGGATCGAGCCTAAACGGTGAGTCGGACATCCCTCTCACAATCCAGGACTGCTAGCTCCCAACCGCTCACCTGCCTGCCTGCCTGATTGCCCCTAACTGCTTCTGCCTGCCAGCCTGATCACCCCCTAACCACTCCCCTGCCAGCCAGATCAATGCCTAACTGCCCCCTACCAGCCCAATTGCCCTTAACTGCCCTCCCCTAAAAGCCTGGTTACCCCAACTGCTCTCCCCTACTGGCCTGGTTCCCCCTCCCCCAACTGCCCTTCCTCCACTGCCAATCTAATAGCCACCAACTGCCCTCCCTTGCAGGCCTGGCTCCTCCCACGGCCCTCCTTTGCATACACATACATATACAGCCAGGGACCACTTGCCCTATAGTTAAGATTCAAGAAGACTAGGGAATGACCTAAACAATCACCCTCAAATAAGAACCACTGTTGAAGCTAAAATTTAAAAAATAAAAGTACTAACATCAATGACAGAAATTTCTAAAGTTCTTTTTGTTAACACTGTACATCAAAAAAATAAAATCTCTAGCCTTGCATTTCAAAATCCTGTATTTAGATATTAAATCCAACTCTCTAATATATCTTACTAGAAATCATGGCCTTCTATCCTTCCAAATCACTTTCTTCAGTAAAAACACTAGTCCTACTCACCCCAGTCTAAAATCCTGGATTCATTTTTTATTCATCCCTGTCAATTTTCTACTCATTACTAATCAGCCTGCAAGCTCTGCTAATTTTCTCTAGAAATGTCTTAATTTTTTTTCTTAATATTTTTTAAATTACTATTTTTACTTCTCAAGTTCAAGGTCTTAAAATTCTTATACCTAAATTTATGAAATGGTTTTCTAGGTAATTTTCCAATTTTCTTTTTTTTTTTAAATATATATTTTTTTGATTTTTTACAGAGAGGAAGAGAGAGGGATAGAGCGTTAGAAACATCGATGAGAGAGAATCGATCAGCTGCCTCTTGCACACCCCCTACTGGGGATGTGCCCCACAGCCAAGGTACATGCCCTTGACTGGAATCGAACCTGGGACACTTCAGTCTGCAGGCCAATGCTCTATCCACTGAGCCAAACCGGTTTCGGCAATTTTCCAATTTTCAATCTAACATATGCATGCAAATTAAACAATAAATAATACAAGAATGAACTTCTGCCAATCCTGTATATTGAATACTTCCTATATATTAAGCCTTATTAGGCTACATCAAACCCAAAGTTTCTCTAAATTCTTAGAGATGATAAATTGAAATTAACTGGACTGTAATTATCCCCATAAAATGGAATCATTTCTTTATTTAGTAGTACATTTACTTCAGTTTTATTTTGTGAATCTATTATATTTTGTACAATTGAATTTTGCATTTCTCTGGCAATCAGAATTTTAATTCCACTACGTGGGGTCCTTCGTGCAATGCCTTTTAAAATATATTTGATTTGTGGCCTGGTCTGTATGGCTCAGTTGGCTGAGCATCACCCTGTGCACCGAAAAGTTGCCAGTTCAATTCCTGGTCAGGGCACATGCCTGAGTTACAGGCTCAATCCCCAGTCAGGATGCATGCAGGAAGCAACTAATAGATGTTTCTCTCTTATATTGATGTTGCTATCTCTCACTCTCCCTTCCTCTCTCTAAAATCAATAAAAACATATTTTTAATCTCTTTAATTTGTTCCATGTTCCTTTTTGTGTGGTATCATTCTGCTTAATAACTATCAAAATGTCATTTAATTATATTCTGCATAACTCTCTAGATTTTACCTAACTCTGTAGTCACAACACCAACATCATGCTTATGTTAATACATAATCAAGCTTCTTCATGTTCTCCTCTAAACAGCTCTTTAAACACTAACATATTTGAATATAATAAAGCAAATGACCTCAAAACACAAGGTCAAATAGAAGCAATACAGAACTTAGCCAATAATCCATTTAATCTATATTACTCAGTACCAAAGCCTCTAATTCAACAAAAATATCTCAGCCAGTTTCTTGTAACTTCTCACTCAAAATGCACTCAGAGCCTTTTGAAATAATTAAAGCAATCATTACTCAAATAAGAGTCAAGCTAATATGAATAGTCCTAACTTTTCCTGACCCCAAATTCCCTAATTCAAATACTAACTATAGTATAACATTAATCCTAACAAGTGATATATCAAAAGGCAAAAGAAGATCAATTAAAACAAGGTAAAACTGGCTTTTTACATCAGTACTTTATGTGCATGAAGAGAAAAACTGAAATGTATCCCTTAACATATTTAACAGCAAAGGAAAATAGATACTCACCATTAAAACCCTGATAAGTATTCCTGCAAGCGGAGTGTGTATAATCTATGAAGACATATTAACAGAAAGAAATTAGTGCAATATTAGCAAAAAAAATCTTACATTATAAACCCATCTATTTAAAGGAAACACAATTTTTGAAATGTTATTAACTTAATTATCTGCACAAATGGGGTATAAATAATCATTAATATTTCATATGGGAAAACATATCTCTCTCTCTCTCTCTCTCTGCATTATCTCGCCAAATAGCAGGTTTATCATTCAAAGTATTGTAATATAAAAATTAGTTTATAACACCTATTATATACATAAAAACAGCCAAAAGATAGGATCCAGTACTGATTTATGCAGGGTAACAAAAGGGCAGGCAGATAAACTAAATTATGTATCAATACATAAATTAAATTATGTATAAAATAATGCAAACACAAGGGACATCTGAGAATTGATTCTATTAAGTGTGCAATTATTCAAAATTACGATTTCTTTTATCACTTAATTTGCTCTCTGAAGATTTCTGAATTTTTTTTAAATATATTTTATTGATTTTTTTCTTACAGAGAGGAAGGGAGAGAGATAGAGAGCTAGAAACATCGATGAGAGAGAAACATCGACCAGCTGCCTCTTGCACACCCCCTACCGGGGATGTGTCTGCAACCAATGTACATGCCCTTGGCCGGAATGGAACCTGGGGCCTTTCAGTCCGCAGACCGACACTCTACCGCTGAGCCAAACCGGCTTCGGCAAGATTTCAGAATTTTATTTGAAAAATGCATATGCATGTGTGTGTGGCTATATAACCCAAAATCATACTCGTAATTTCCCTGTCAAAACTAACTTAGCAACCATTAAATCCTTTAGTTAATTTTACTAATAAATACTGAAATGGTCATTTTGGATACAACAGAAACCAGGAACACTACACAGGATTAGATTCAGTTACTGTCAGTCAAACACCATCCCCTAAATATAGTGATGGTGTGACAAGGGGGCATGAGAGGGAGTATTATCACTGACACTACTTAGAATTGTAAGTGCACGGTAATCATAAGAAGCAAATACACTGTTTTAATATTGTTTTTCAGTTCTCTACAGAAAATGGGTTCCCTTATTTGGGGAGTGGACCACTCTCATTGTTCTCCATCTCTTCACCTTAGTAGCTTCTGCTGTACCTTGGGTATTGGCAGTCATCCAACTCTGACATGAAAACATAACAGAATACATTTTTAAATTTAATTCCCAACTACTAGCACTTCAACTACTCATACGCTGTTTAAAAATATCTATATCAACATGAGTCAAAGTCCACGGAAAACAAAAACACCAGTGTGCTAATAGGTGACCTTCCTTCTACAAAGTAAATTAAAAGTATCCACAAAGGGGTCATACCAGCCCACTTTTTTATATACTTAAACTTGGCAGAACACTCTGTGGCCTGATATCAAAGATTAAAATATCATTTATTATGACTCAAATGCTGAGATCACGCCACGTTCAACATTAAAGACCCTTTTGTTGTTGGGTTAGAGGCTTACAACTAGTTTGTTGGTGAGCTGGCTTTATTCAGAACTGCCTGATTACTCAGGATGAAATCCACTTGAATCATGCAAGCCCCCTTTCACGACTCCCGATGCTGTCATTACACACTTATTTTTATCTTCACACCCATTTCCTATACCAAAGTTGGGCAAGATTCAAAGGCAGGGTGAAGACCCCAATACCTGACTTGGGGAGTGTGTGAGCATGGCCTGGGAGGTGTCGCTAAAATCCGGCTCATTGTAAAGCACCAGGTCCAGCCCGGGCGGCGGTGGGCAGGGCTGAGGTCTGAGTCCGAAGGGCACGGAAGGCTGTGCCGGATCCTAACTTCGGTCCCAGCCGCACAGACCCAGACACACACGCTCTGGTCCAGCGCTGTCTCACGCGGGGGATGGACGGCCAGGTGCGTGTGCTGAGCCCACTCTTCCCGTCTGCCGGCCACAAACGCCTTCCTCCCATTCTGGGAAGATGTCTACCTACCTGGCCGTATCCCCTGGAGACGCCCTATAAACTCATCTCCAACTAAGACGCCCAGGGCTCTCGCTGTGCACTGCAAGCCCCTGGCATCTGTCCCCGGGGCTGAGGGTTTAACCAAATGGGTGGCTGCCCTGGGGGCGAGGACAGGCCGGCGGTGGAGCGGCCCCGCCCGCCCGCCCGCCCGGGACCGGGAAGTCGGAGGCGGCGGGGCAACCTCCACGCCGCGGGGCCGGGCCGGGCCGGAGGCCAAGGCGCTCCGGGCGCGCCCGTCCCCGCCCAGGCCCGCGCGGAACTCCCAAGGGCCCCGGGGACGACGGGCGCGGGGAGGGGGAGGACTCGGGGCGCGCGGGTCCCCCAGGGGCCACCCCCGGGCACTGGGCCCGCGGCGGCGGGCGGCGGGCGGGCGGCCTCGGGCCCGCAGAACAAAGCCCACACGGCCATCTTGAGACGGTAAACAGACCCCCAGCGCAGGCCACCCGCCTCCCGCCCGCCGCGGCCGCCAGCCAGGGGCGGCGCTCACCGTCCTCGAAGTCCATGGCGGGGGCTCCGGGCCGACCGGCCTGGCGGCGCTGGGCTCGGAGCTGCGGCCGGCAACCAGCGTCGGGGACCCGCGTTCCCACACCAGCCGCCCGCGCGCGACCGACAGCGACGCTACCGGCCCGGGAGCCGCAGGCCACAGCGAGGTTGGGGGCGGGGCCAGCCGGGCTGCCAGTCGCCCGTGTGCGGCCTACGATTGGTTGGCGCGGGCTAGTGGGCGGGACCGCGAGTGGGGGCGGGAAGCAGGTCCGCTGTCAAGCTCGCAGGTGCTGACCCTCACGGAGCCGCCAGGAGGAGGATAGGTTTAAAAAAGAGAGAGAGAGAGAGAGAGAAAGCAGGAGCTCTGAAGCCGGATTGGAGTCACGGGAAAGCGGGCTAGGTGTTCGGGAAGGTAGGGCTGTGGGCCCGCCATGTTTGATCCTGGCAGGAAAGAAAGGATCTGGTTGGAACACCTTCCTCCTGCCCAAACTAATAAACCACGTGCCAACCTTTTGCTTTTTATTGGCTGATCAGAAAATGTTGAAGTACTTGGGAGTTTCTGCCCTGAAGACACGCAAGTCCAAGACTGTCTTTTAGAGAACTCTGTATGCAGAGAACAGGTTGCTAAATAGGGAACAATTATGGAAATGATTGAAGACGGGCTATTATCAAGTTCTGAATTTTTTAAAATATTTTTTAAATATATATTTTATTGATTTTAGAGAGGAAGGAAGGGGGATAGAGAGATAGAAACATCAATGATGAGAGATGTTGAGAAACATCAATCATGAGAGATGCCTCCTGCACACCCCCTACTGGGGATCGAGCCCTCAACCCAGGCATGTGCCCTTGGCTGGAATCGAACCTGGGACCCTTCAGTCTGCAGGCCGATGCTTTATCCGCTGAGCCAAACCAGCAAGGGCTCAAGTTCTGAATTTTAAGGTGCAAAATGAAAGTATGCAAGTTCACCTACTTTGACAGTGGTGTCCAGAACTTGAAGGATAACCACATGCAAACACACACAAATATTGGCATTGCATTACCACCACCTTGCAAATAGTATTAGAAGCAGTGGGCAGTTTTTCATCCATAGGGCAATATGGAAAGGCACAGCTGTTTGATCATTCTGACCATGAGCAGCTTAAACTCCAGGTTAAAATTTTATTTTTATTTTTTGCATTGAGCAAATAGTGTCAACATGAATTGGTCACGGGATAGGAAACCATGAATCAAACCATTTGCTCTTCATCAGTGTCCAACCAGTCGCTGGGACCAAATTCCAAGAAGGCAGTCTGTGGAAATAGGACTGGAGGAAAAACTCACAAACTGTGTGCACTACTGTAGCCCCAAAAATGAGCAGGACATTGTTTATCACTTTCCTCTTGCACTCTGATTTATTCACCGAGCTCTCCACCCTTCCTTGTTTTCTTCTTCCCCCCCCCTCCCATACCTGTTTTCTATTCACCTAAGCTGAACACCTAATTTCCCTCTTCAAACCTGCTCATCCTCCTTTACTCTTCCATTGTTAGTGGCATCTTGAGCAACCACCCACTAATCCCAGCCAGAAAGAAGCCTGCAACTCATCTAGTCAAGACTCAGCCCTCCCACACCCTCCCATCAACACTGAGGTCTTTCATCTGCTTATTGCCTCATGAAATGTCTTAAACTTGCTCGCTCCTCTCTCCATCCCCACTGCCACTACCTGAGTTAGACTCTCATTTCTCCCCAGAACTATTGCTGCCTAATTAACTTCTCCGTCCTTTGACCTTTACATTCTCAGGCTCCTCGGGGCTGCAGTGATCTAAACGCAAATCTGAGCGCGCATGTGTCTCTGCCATGGATTAAGTGGAGACAAAGCTTGTTAACTTAGACCAGGTGTCGGCAACCTACGGCTCCAGAGCCTCATGCGGCTCTTTTGAAGCTTTACTGCGGCTCCGACAACTTGCAAGCCTGTGTGAAAATGAAGGTAACGTCTTACAGCCCTGATGTGCTGACACTGTGCACTGAAGTTCAGGAGCAAAAATCCCATTAACCAGGTAAATTAAATATTTTAATTAGCTATTAATTTGCAAAAATATATTTTACATTGTTAAGCTAACTGTCAATCGATCCGGTATATAGCATTAAGGTAAGAAACAATATATGCAGTGTTAGATTTGTTTTAAATTGGTTTTGTGGCTCCCAGGTTTTTTTTTCCTTCGGAAACCGGTCCAAGTGGCTCTTGATGTCTTAAAGGTTGCAGACCCCTGATCTAAACCACACCCAGCAGGATCTGGCCACTACCTGACCTGCCCTTTTCCTACATTTCTCCCTCCCCTCTCTCCCATACTCTCTTAATGGATCAAGAAGGTAAACTAGCTGAAACCGGTTTGGCTCAGTGGCTAGAGCGTTGGCCTGCGGACTGAGGGGACCCATGTTTGATTCTGGTCAGGGGCATGTACCCTGGTTGCGGGCACATTCCTAGTAGGGGGTGTGCAAGAAGCAGCTGATCTATGTTTCTAACTCTCTATCCCTCTCTCTTCCTCTCTGTAAAAAATCAATAAAATATATATTTTTTTAAAAAAAAGAAGAAAAAAAATAAATAAATTAAAAAAAAATAAAAAATAAAAAAATAAAAAGAAGAAGAAAAAGGTAAACTACTTGGCAGTTCCCAAACACTGTACTTTTTCTCACCACTGAACTTTTACTTATGTTGTTCCTTCTGTTTGGAACACTACCTGGGTGACCATACACCTCTTCAAAACACAACTCAGGATTTACTTCCTCTAAGAAATATTTCCCGGTCTCATCCCCACCGCCTAGGCCAGTACTTCTCAATGTTAATGTGCACATGACTCACCTAGGGATCTCGTTAAAACTCAGGTTCATATTCAGCCAGTCTGGTTGGAGCCAGAGAGTCTGCATTTCTCACAAGTTTCTGGGAGATGCTGCTGGTAGTCAACTCTACTTGGAGCAGCAAGGCCCTGGGCTGGATTGAAAGCCCCTCCTCTGAGCTCCAGGGACTGACCTCTGTTATAACACCATGTCCCTGTATTAAATATCTGCTTGGCTTTCTGTGTCTCCACACTAAGAGCTCTTTGAGATTAGAACCAAGTCTTCTTTTTCTCCTAAGTGCCAAGTGCATATGTGAAACTGAGCTTTTCCTGACATTTTTTAACTTTTATGTTCTTGTTATCTCCCCTGCCCTGATTTACCTTCTGGTAAAGGAATGAACTTGTAACCTGAGATATCTTTTAGTCTTGGAAAGACTGGAAAGGAATAAGTACGAGGTCACTTTGCATTTGTGTGTCACACACACACACACACACCTCTTTCTTCCCTGAAAGAGAAACTTACCAAAGAACTGCTGACTCCCAAAGAAACCTGGGCTTGGCACAAATGCACGGAGAGCCAGAATATACAGGTCACTCCTCCCCTTCCTTCCTGTGTTCCGTACAGGAAGTGTTTTTTACGAGGCAACTTTATTGAACAAATATTGATTGAGCACCAACTATGTGTCAAACATAGCTTTCTTACTTCATGGTTATCTCTTTTGTATCCTCCTCCGTCCCCAGAGTCTAGCCAGGCTACCGGGCCTGTTCCTACGAGTTAGGCTCAGATTTTTACCCCTAGGGGCCAATGTTTTGTACAAATTCTCATGCCATTTTGTCTTCCATATGTTTTGTAGTAGGTGACAAGTTAGTAAATGCCATACCAGCGAAGTTCTTTGGAAAAAATAAGAGAACAGGACTTTTAAAGTGCAGAGGTAAAAGGGGTGTGTGGGCTGAGGCCAAGAAAAGACTGAAGGAAGAGGGAGGTGACTCTGAGGAAATTGTCAGAAAAGGGCTTCTCCCTCCTCCCCCCCATTTCCAGAACCTAAAATCTAGATGAGCGAACTTCCTGAGTATCCAGAGACCTATGTTCCTCATCTCCTCACCCCCAGCCTACATATCTTCTGCTCCATCTACACAGGACCATCTGCTGTTCCCTGAATAAGCCATCTATCTTCACATTCCTATGCCTTCACTTAACTTGTTCTCTCTGCTCCTATTGTTTCCTCTCCTCTGCCATTCTTCAGGGTTTATTGTGAATTTTGCCTCTTTTTAAACCTCTCCCCAAGCTGGTAGTTAGAATCCCCTTTCCTCTGTGTTACCCTAATAGCAGTTATCATAGTTGGATTCTTGTTATAATTCGTGAGTTCACAATATCTTTGTCTACTCCTTGTTTGTACTCCTTGGATGTGGAGAGCCTCCTTTTTACCCTTTTATGTGCCCTGTATGTAGCATGTTGTCACATGGATTAAGGGGAAAGAGCAGTAGCCAAATCGCCAATAAAGAGAACACTTACTGAGGCTGAAAATGGGTACCCAGAGCTTCAGCTGCAGAAAACCTCAGCATCCTATAATTATGCTGTAAGTAAGTGATGGAAAGGCATTCTAGTAATTCCACAGTGCTTTCCTGATTTGCTCCAAATAATTCTTCCTCTCCATGTTCTTTAGGAAATTCATAAATGTTTAAGTCAAGAATGAAGAATTACTCATTTATAGCAAAGCAGAGAAAATGAACATAAAGTAATTCCTCTGAACATAAAGTAAAGAAGCCTCTGAGGACTTATCAAGGGAGAGCTGGTTACAAAGCCAGTTCTCACAGGAAATCTGCTGACAACAGCCGGTGTGACAATGCTGATGGATGTTTTATACATAATGGAAGATGTTCTCAGATGTTAATATACCACTTCAAAAAGATGCCAGTGTCTCTGGAAGCTAAAAGGGATAGCCATTAAAAATAATAACCTTTATTAAGTCTTACATATTAACAAATGTTCAAAAGCTCTTTACATGTATTAACTCTTTTCTTTTTCTGCCCAATAAACCTATGATGTAGGCACTGCTGTCATCCCCACATGAATGATTAGGAAACTGAGATCCGGAGAGGTAAAGTTACATGCCCAACTTCACACCGCTGAAGGAAGAGTAGAGCCAAGATTGAAACCCAGGCAGCCTGGATCCAGAGCCCAAGGTCGTATCTCTGTCATTCTCAAA